TACTTCACGTAAAATAGATTAACAAGTTTAATAAGAATTTGCAGGGGGCTGTTAGGTCCAACAGGTTTTAGGTTCGATTCACCCTCCCTTGCTATCATTTATGTAAAATAAATAAGTAAATCAGCTCGATCACATCATCTTTGGCAAATGGGTGATGTCAGGGAGACTAAATTTATAGAAATTTTTTTTATAAATTATATGACATGAAAGTTGATGATTGGACTATTACTTAAGTGTTAATAAACGTACTCATCTCTATTGGTGACATATTAATTTAGTTTGCAAATTTAATCTTCCTAACATTACCCTTGCTAAATACATTTGTAGCTCACAAATAAACAATGACATTGCAAATATATTGTTCTCAAATTGATGCATACACAGATGACAGAATGGATTGGAATAATTGTTTGACAGACGTAAACCCTAGAAACAACAAATTCTCGTTTTGCAAATTTAGGCCCCTAGACTCCAAATTCTAGTGTTTATTAGGTCAAAACGGTTTTAAGTTTTGCACAGTATTAAGCAATAAAACTCAAGTTTAAAAGCTACAAGCTCCAAATTCTACCGTTTACTAGGTCAAAACTCCGTTGCAAGTTCTACGGGTATTTTCAATTTCGTTATCAATCAGGGTGCTTGTTTTCATATTATCCAATTAATAACCTTGACGTTTTTATACGTTTTCTGATAGATTCATACTTTTCTACGTACTTGGTTATCGTATGCTATCTTCTCTACGTGTAGAGAAAAAACTATTAAAATATGTGCTCTCTTAGCAACCTCATTTACATCCCAAGTTTATCACATTATCTTTTATTTATGGGGGTCCCATTGACTGCTAATTTGCAGTTGGCTAGGGATTGTGTAACAAATAAGAAATTTTTCAGTGTGCCCGGAACACAAGATGGTACATCATGTGTCACTATACAAGTTATGAGATACTTATGTTAAAAAATTAATAATTTAATATAAAAATCTCCACCACTTATATAATAATACGTGATGTAGCACTTGTGTTCCGATCACAACGAAAAATTTCTCGTAACAACCAAATTGAGTTCCTTACCCTTGTAGGCTTACCTTTCCACATGGAAGAATGGGAGGAGTGGTGATTCCAGAAACAGGAGACGATTGGGTTTTGTCAGAAGAGCATGGCCGAAACCGAAACGTCTCTCTCGGTTTTAGGCCACACTTCGTTATTTGTTGAGGCAACTTGCAAAAGCAAAGTTCTCTTTCTTCTTCTATTGGATATGTAAAAGGCTTGGACACCATCTTTCAAGGGACAGCCTTTATAGCTGTATTGCGAATTATTTTGGGGTACCCTCTCAAAATCCTTGTCCATAGTTATGTCTGAAAGTGTGGGTGCTTCTCCAAAAACCGTTTTTCTACGAAATACGAATGAATTAGTCATGAAAAAAACTTATCTTTTTGAAAGAGTTCGAATGGTAAATTTGCTTAATGTGCAATACACCTTTCTACCTTCAAGTCGGACAAAATTTTTTCACTTCTTTCTTTAACATACGTTGAATATGAAGAGTTATCAATTCCAATATGATCTTCAATACTAGGCCTATATTTACCAATACGTAGGCAACCAAAAACTCAAATCTCTCGCTATCGCTTCTCGTCAAAAGTCACATCTCTGGGCATGATGAGTCATACCAAGAGTTTATGGAACCGATATCTACAAAGAAAGGTGGTTGAATGCAAATGTGGTTCACAAACAGGCATGCCTGAGAGCCACTAGACTGACCATTCCAGGATGTAACATTGCTTTTTAGGGACCACAACTAAATTCCATAGATCACAGGGTCTGCCTTCACCTAGTTTTGTGGCAGGGATTTAGATGGGAAGGGGAAACACAAAAACCATGAAGATAACAAACCTGAGGCTCATCAGCTTCTTCATGGTCCACAAAAGAGCGTTGCGCTCTAGCATATAATGGCATCTAAGATTCGTTTTCAACCTCAAATAACCCAATCAAGCACGTCAAGACAACTGATAGTTTTTCATTTGAAGAAAAAACAGTTACAAAATTGTAAAATTCTTTCGGGTGTACTGAAATAACATGCTCAAATCAAAATCTTATAACGAAGTCGCAGTATTATACGATTGGGACATACCACTGATATCATAACCAAGTACCTAAAGAACATCAGGCCGAAATCAAAACCGTTATAATTTAATGGGACTTGAGGTGCTCTTGAACAACATGAAGACCTTCTGATTCTTCACCAAAATCCTGCAAAACGAAATAATGCAATAAGGCAAGCGAACAAACACCATGCAAGGAATGGAAAATAAGTAGAAAATCTTTTTTTTTTTTGGGGACACAACTACAAAAAATAACACCGGAAATGTAGTAAATTCATGCACTCAAATGAGTATTCTAAATACCTTCACAACAACACACGAGCAACCAACCACCTTTCTTGCCTTTCCTTCTGAATCAATCTTGCAAAGCTGTGAGAAGACAGTATAAAATTAACAACATGTTCAAGAAAAAATCCGTAAGTATGGAAAGCAAGAAGAGAAAAATTAAGGGAATTGTTATTAGCACTCCTAAAATATCATTTGGCACTCCAAACTTTCTATAATTTAGAAAGAAAAATACGCTTGTGAGGAGTGTAGAATAAGATTTTGGAGTGCTAATAACAGATCCCAAAATTATTATGCCAAACTAAAAGAAAACATGGCAGAGTTTGAATATTAGAAACCCTTTAAAGACTGTCCCCAGTTTACCCGCCAGCAACATAAGCCATCAATTGAAAAGTAAATTAATGGACAATTTTAGTTTATTGGACAACTAACACAAAACTGATTACATATGGAGATACTGACAAAGTTGAGAAAAGGAACCGAGAGAAAGATAGTTGAAAACATCGGAACAAACTAAACAATGAACAAATGAAAATAATTACTTTTGGGAAAGAATTAAAACTAACAGAAACTACTTTATGTCAATTCGTTTTACTTACACCCGCCCATTCTCCAAGGGTTTTAGCACTAGGAATTGACATAAGCTTAACATTATGATCTGCACATAGTGCCTTGACCAGCTTAACATAATCAGCCTGGTCACAGTCCTCAGCTACAACGCAGAGTTGTGCAGCATGCTTCTCAATGACCTTTGCACCCTCGTGCAGTCCACGAGTGAGCCCACCATGAGCCAATGACTTCCTCAGCACAAGTTGCAAGGCTGTCAAAAGGTCCATTGGTTCACCTAGAGCTGCAGCAACTGCAACAGGCTCAACAGGAACAGCAACTTCTTCATCTCTGTACAAATATTATATTGAAAGTAACATTAGACATACTACACCAAATATATATAAAGAATGTCATTAACGGAGAGAAAAAAATGCTTAAGATAGAGTGCAGAATGCAGGCATTATCCAGCCGGTAAAACGCTAAACTAATGGAACAACGAATAAACAAATTCCAGAGTGCAGCTTCAAATCCTAAGGTTACCAAAGAAAAAAGACTCAATCTGACATTCGGCTTACCAAAGCTTCTTATACTTCTTTAACATGAGAACATACACATACAACATTGAATTCAGAACAAAAGCACCAATCATCAAATCCATGACATGCACCCATGGTCGAAACCAAATGGCCCTACAAGCAAATATCGAACTCAGCAGTTCATCGTGCATTCTAAGATTCTAGACTCCTAAGTTCCTAACCCCATTGCTCTCACAGAACTAGTCTAATAGTGTGTCCCGTCAATTTGGTATGTAACAAACCGGTTAAAGGCACTTCATTGGTACAAAAGATAAGTTGAAACTACTACTCAGAACAATAAATCAGGATCACATATTAATCTCGAAACTAGTTTGCATCCCTTCTATAACAAATATTCCATATATAGAGCGAAAAACGAATATAGAGAACCGGAAAATAAAATGTCCACATACCCTGACATTTTTCGGGTCGATTGAAATGAAAAGCCCTGATGACATGAGAAAACAAATGATATGTTAATTAAAAGCTTCAGTGAAACCAATTACCAGACTTGCAAGCTCAAATACTGAAATCTAAACAGGCTTATACCAATAAAAATCTGAAAAATAAATCATAAAAATTCAAACTTGCTGTAAAGGATAGTGTTTAAATGCTCAGACATGAGATGTTAACCTCGAATTCCCAAAGAAACTTTGTAGATTTCGTGAAAACACAAAGAAACCAAGTTTCAGATTTTACACACGTCCTAAACCCTAATCATTTTAATTTTGGATTAAAATTCTCATCTGCCACAAACAACTTCTTAGCCGAAATATAATTACAAAATTTAAATCAGAAGAGAACGGAATTGAACGGAGAGGTAAGCGCTGACCTTGACGATGGTTGGGAGGTGAAGATCGAAAACCTGCAGGAGAAGGCGAATGAGGCCGGCGGTGGCGCTTATGATTCACATGGAATATTCATAAACCCTAGAACACTCGTACAAATTACCATGTTATCCTTGTCATTTAGGGTTTTATGTTTAGGGTACAATGGTGGGCTGAAGCCCAAACATACCAGAAAATTGCGTGGGATGGGCCTTAGCTGTAGTAAAGTCGCATGCGCATTTAAATTTTGATCTTTCTCCGCCACTTAAAACGCTGTTCAGTGGTAAGTCTTAAATTCAACCTTACGGTCCAGCGGTTTCCTTTTATTTGTAAGTAGAAGATCTTAAATTCAATGATTTCCTTTCATTTGTAAGTAAGAGATCTTAAATTCTATTTTCAGGAATGGCTCCGCACAAATTCCTCGTTCCTAAGATTGGTCCATTGGTAACCGATAGACTTTAAATTCCAATAGGCTTTAAACTCAAAACCTCGAATGCAAATAGTCAATTCTCCAAAACCAATGTTTTCCAATTTGGGCATTACGGAGGATACTTTTCTTTTAAAGCATGGCCCATCGAAACAATTGATTCAAAGTCTTGTCAGGTGATACACAACGTGCAACTGAAATAACCGATAGCATGATCAACGAGTAATAAAAACGCAAATCAAATAACAAAACCACACGGAAAATTTCATCATTTAAGAACAGAGGTAAAAGACCGAAAAAATATCAAATGTTTTGATAATCAGAAGGATAGTTACTCAATTCCACTTCTACAAGTTTGGGACCTAATGAACATCAAACACAAATCAACATGAGGCAGACTCTTTTCAAATTTAATGGGACTTAATGTGCTCCTGAACAACGTGAAGGCCTTCCGATTCCTCGCCAAAATCCTGCAGAACAAAACGCAATAAGGTAAGTAAACAAACAGAATACAAGGCATAATCAAATTGGGGGTACTAAGAGCATGCACTCAATTGAATGTTATGAATACCTTCACAACAACGCATGAGCAACCAACCACCTTTCTTGCCTTTCCTTCGGAATCAATCTTGCAAAGCTGTGCGAAGACAGTACAAAATTAACAATAAGTAGAAGGCAAAATCCGAACAAACTATATGTTTAACGCATGAAAATAGTTACTCTGAGGCAAGAACTAAAACAAACAAAACTTCTATTAGTCAATTCATTTTCACTTACACCAGCCCATTCTCCAAGAGTTTTCGCACTAGGAATTGACATTAGTTTGACGTTATGGTCAGCGCATAGAGCCTTAACAAGCTTAACATAATCAGCCTGGTCACAGTCCTCAGCTACAACACAAAGCTGTGCGGCATGTTTCTCGATGACCTTTGCACCTTCATGGAGTCCACGAGTGAGCCCACCATGAGCCAATGACTTCCTCAGCACAAGTTGCAGTGCTGTCAGAAGGTCCATGGGTTCGCCTGGAGCTGCAGCAGCAGCAACAGGCTCAGCAATAGGAACAGCAACCTCTTCTTCTCTGTACAATCAATAAAATGGAGTAACATTTGACACGCTGCCATACCACACATTACACACCAAACAATACCAAGTATATCAAACTGACAAATAAAAAACGCGTCGTTTGACAGAAAAAAAGGGAAAAAGAAATAAAGAACGCGTATGATAGACTGCCATATCCCACTATCAGACAGTCCAGTAAGTGAAAACAAGTACGGAGTAGAAATACAAATGTACAACAAGAGCAACGATCCTTGTATCAGAAACACAAAAGCTAAAACATACAATTAAATTAAGCTTTCACACACTCATCGCCGACATTCCCACAGTTGAAACCGAAAGACTCCTAAAGGCATTTGCGCATTCTGAAAATCTGGATTCCTAATCCCTCTCTCACTAACTCGTATAACGGGTGCTCTCGTTTCGATATGTAACAAATTGGCGAACAGAGGTTCACCAGTACAAAAAATAAATCTACGCTACTGCTCGGGCCAAGTAATCAATGACAAACTTGATCTCTAAAAACATATATATCCTCCATTATCATAAGCATTTCATATGTACAGCGGAAAAGCGAGTATATAGAATCAGATATACAATTGTCTACATACCCTGCCATTTTTTGGGGCCGGTTGAAATTACAAACCCTGGTAACACGAAATTAACAAAAAGGATGTCAGCCAGATAAAACATTTCAGTAAAATATACAATTACAAGACTTGCAAGCTCCATTACTGAAATCTAAAAAAAATATTATATAAAAAAAAATACCTGCAAAACAATATAACCCTTCTGTCTAGTGCTAAAATTCTCAGATATTAAGATGTTACTTCGAATTTTGGGAAAATTTCAGTAGTTTTCATGATAAACACACAGAAATCAAATTGCCCATCAAATTTTCGGATTTTTCCTTTCAATTTTTGATTAAATTTTTGTCAGCGGCCAGACAGAACTTGTATTGGGAAACATAGTTGTCAAATTTAGACAAGGAGAAAATGTGATCGGAAGCAGAGAGAGGTAAGGGCTAACCTTTGAAGATGATTGCGGCGAGGTAAAGATCTGAGAGCTGCACTTGCAAGATAAGTGAATGGGGAGACGACGGCGGGAGGCCTTATATGTTTCAACTTACATGAACCCTAAACCCACCAATGTGTAATTACCATACTGCCCTTTTTCTCATTTTTCCTTTTAATTGTGTATTTAAACTTGGCATGACCACTAGTGTTCCAGTCTAATAGTGTTTATTTTCATAGGTACGAGAGATATTATATTTGATTTTTATGAACGGTGAGTTTAATAAAATATTATCTTTATAGTAAGAAATATTGTTGTATATTTATTATTAGTATTTTTTTTTCTTTTTATTGAACGATGTTATAGAATGCAAATATGAACTTAGGTACAGGTACATCACCTAGACTAATTTGCTTAATTCACATTTGTAATACACGGTAGCTTTTTTGTTATGTTCAGATGAGAATCTTGAATTATATTGTTAGTTGAATATTGTAAAAAGTGTGTCTACATGTATATGCGGCTGAGACATGACACCGAATTGAGAGTTTAATGAGACCGAAGATTAGGACCACCATTAGTGATTGGGGATTGTAAGATAAATTGGTCCCTCAGCAAAGAAAAACTTGGTCGTTGTCTTGAGCATGAAAGCTACCATTATGTGGACTATTGAATCGAAAGCCACTTTGTATCCTTAACATTTTAAAAAACTTAGTCAATAGAGAGAATCGATAATTCACTAAGCATGTTACACCGTCGTTGAATCATTTTCACTTGAAAAAATGAGGTTACTGTTGGGGAAAATTTAGAGTACACAACTCTAACACAAGTGTTGGAGAGACAATACAAGTAAACAAATTACTTGTATTACACAAACAAAATATTACAACACTCTCAAAGGACACTCTTAAGAAGCTATGACACTCACTCACTTTCTAGAGACAAACTCTAGAGCACTCATACTCTTACAAGACTACTCTTTCTTCTCACTCTCACTTGCTTGTTGATGGTGTGGATGCCTTCTCCTTTTATAGGCATGGATAGAACCTTGGAAAAACATGGACACACCATGCTAGAGATATCTAGATAATTCCACTAACTTCCTAAGCTAGAATTATCTACACTAATCTTGCATGTTGGTGGAAACCTCACCATTCTTCTAGACTCTTCCACCAACTTAAGAAACAACATTCCAGTCATTTATACAAAGTACTACTTTAACTTGGATAATCTAGCTAACCAACCTTAGTGAATGTTCTAGAATTCTTTATTCTAGATTTGTGTAGGTCCTTTAATGATATGGGGTTGATTTCTTTAACACTCCCCCTCAACACCATCTCATTATTCTCTCTACGCTGGGTTGACAACGCTTCATCTTGAACACCCATTTGTATGAGATGGGTTTCATTTCTTAGCCTTGCCACTGGATCCCAAATTTGATATTTTCTTTAACGCATCGACCTCTTCTCTTAACTTTACACCATTCAGAATTCTGTGATGCTTCTTCAAACGCCTCAGGTTCTTTTAGTGCTCCATCAGTTATGGCAGCATTGGCATATTTAGGATTTGGCTTTCGTACTCTTGTTGACCTTCTTAGTTGTGCTTGTGGAATTGATACTTCCACTCCACTAGGTCTAACTTCTTGTGGTTGTTGGTACACACCTGTTTGCCAATGACTCTTAGGTACTTCTTGCTCAACATCGTCTCCAGCAAGCAAATCTTTAGGCTCATCTGGACTTGATTGGGTTTGGGCAACTTGGTCTCCCATTTCCTCATTCAACATATCTTCAATTTTTCTTGAGTCAGGCAACACTTCATTTTCTGAGCACCACCAAGAAGATGCTTCAGCATCCCATTCTTCATCCATAGCTAGATATGCTATGGCATCCTAATCATCTTCGCTTTTCTTCTCTGAGTTGGCGACGTCAGGCCTTTTGAACCAGCAATCCTTCGCCATGTGGCCATTTTTTCCACAATGGTAACACTTACCCTCAAATCTTTTATTATTCTGGGACTGACCACGGTTGCCGTGATACTTCGGAGCTCCCCTTGGCCGAGAACTCCCTCATCCTTGATGACCTTTTTCCTTGTCACCATTTCTTTTAGATCCACCACCAACACGCTGCTTAAAGCTGCATTTACTTTTGGTGTAGAGCGCTTCCTCCTCACCTTTTAACGAGACCCCTCCCATTTGCTTTGCCAAAGCTTCTTGATCGGCAAGCAAATTCTCGAACTCAACAAGTGATGGTTGGGTCGGCCATCCTTGTACAGCGGCAACGAAGCCTCGATATTCAGGTCTCAATCCATGGATAATTATTCTTTTTATCCTGGATTCTACAATGGCAACACTAGGATCTAATTCAGAAATTTCATGGCAAATAGACTTTACCTTATGGAAATACTGCGCAATCGTCATGTCCCTTTGGGCCACTGATAACAACTCGTTCTCGAGAAGTTGCAGTCTTGTATCGTTCCTCTTTGAAAAGAGTGTGGCAAAGGTGTCCCATGCTTCTTTTGGTGTCTTGACCTTCTGTATGTGCTCCAACATGTCATCTTTAACTGTAGTTTTTAAGGCAAACATGGCCTTACCTGCCTTGATATTCCACTTCCTCAAAGCGCCGCTGGTATCTTCTTCTGGCTGCGTAACTTCATTATCGCCGACGACATCCCAAAGATCTTGGCCTTGTAGGTAAGACTCTATACACGTCGCCCACGTGTTGTAATTTTTGTTGTTCAACTTCTTGATTTCTCCAACAACTTGAAGGTCTCTCATCGTGTCGGCAGAGCTTCGATAAGCCGAACAAGATTAACGAATAATCTTGCGAAGTACTAAACTTCTCACGATTCTCAAAAGCTTTAATAGAGACGGTCCCTAATCGTACCGCTCTGATACCAATTGTTGGGGAAAAATTTAGAGTACACAACTCTAACACAAGTGTTGGAAAGACAATACAAGTAAACAAATTACTTGTATTACACAAACAAAATATTACAACACTCTCAAATGACACTCTTAAGAAGCTATGACACTCACTCACTTTTTAGAGACAAACTCTAGAGCACTCACACTCTTACAAGACTACTCTTTCTTCTCACTCTCACTTGCTTGCTTGCTTACAAGCTTGCTTGTTGATGGTGTGGATGCCTTCTCCTTTTATAGGCATGGAAGGAACCTTGGAGAAGCATGGACACACCATGCTAGAGATATCTAGATAATTCCACTAACTTCATAAGTTAGAATTATCTACACTAATCTTGCATGTTGGTGGAAACCTCACCATTCTTCTAGACTCTTCCACCAACTTAAGAAACAACATTCTAGTCATTTCTACGAAGTACTACTTTAACTTGGATAATCTAGCTAACCAACCTTAGTGAATCTTCTAGAATTCTTTATTCTAGATTTGTGTAGGTCCTTTAATGAGATAGGGTTGATTTCTTTAACAGTTACGAAATTGTATATTTCATCGGGTAATCCTCAATGTTCTGCTGAAATAACCGATAGCATACTCAAGGAGTAATTCATGCACTCAGATGATATTTTTTCGGTCTGATAAGATTTTTCGGGGACATAACACTGGAAATGTAGTAATTCATGCACTCAAATGAATGTTCAACGTACCTTCACAAAAAGCAACCAACGACTTTTCTTGCCTGGGAGGAGCTTGGAATGAAGTTAATTATAGTGTCTCAGTTGCAAAACTTTTAGCAGTCTGTCTACCGCATCAAGTGAACATTCATTTGATTTTGCCCTCTGAATTTTTAATTTTATTTCAAACCTCATATACTCTCAATTCATGCCACTATCTCTTGGCTTTAGTTTCCTCATGTGCGTTAATACAAGTTACTACTCCTAAAATTGTAATAAATTTAACGGCTTGAAAGACATTGACATGAAGGTGATGGTCTGATGACGCATGCAACGATATAGCTAGGATCCTTTAGTCCTATAAATTAAGGTTTCATGGTTTTGGAGTTTGATTTGTTTAATTTTCGAAGAGGAAAGTGGGTGAGAGCTCTCAGAAAGGGAAAACAATGAGGAAGAGGGGAGTGAGAGAGTGGGAAGGAAGAAGAAAACAAAAATGGTAGACGTTTCGGGAAGAGATTGGAAAAGATAAATTAATAATGTAATATTAATTTATACAAATTAAATAATATAATATTAATTATAAATAAAAAATATACTAATATTTTATTACCTATTGCCAGAGCTATTAAAGTGCAACGGTGAAGATGCAAAAGACGGTTACTGTTCATTAATGGCAGTTGACTAGATAACATAATGTGAAGGTTCCACGCTGGAACTACTCTAAGAACCCCCCTGACGATGAATTCCCAGTTCATGATGGATTACACTTATCTCGCCTAAACGACGTTAAAACCAATGTTCTAAAAATCGGCCTAAGCGGCCGTCTAGGCGCTAGGCAAAAGAGTGTTGTCGCGATTTGGACCAAATCGTCCGGCCAAATCGGATAAGAGTTAGGCACCCGCCTAGACGCTCTCTTGGCGGTTTAGGCGGCCTAGGGGGTGGGCAAGGCGATAGGTTTTTTTTTTTCCGACATACTAGCTCTCTGGTCTTCGGTTGCTGTCGACGCGTCGCATCTTTCGTTTTCACTCGCTATCGTATTTTTAGTAGAAAATAGAAGATCTGAAAAGAAGGAGTATGGGGAGAGAGATAACATTTAGATTGCAAGCCTCAAATACATCGAATGAGGAGGTAATTTACAGAGCAAAAGCAAAATAGAAGATGAAGTGAGAGAGGAGGAAGAGGAAACAGCTGAAAACCCCCCACATTATTGCCTTCCGCTAACCAATGCGTCTAACCTGCACACAGCACTACACTCTTATCATTAAATTTTCTTTTAATTTTTTTACACTATTTTATGTCTATAGGATTGGGACTTTGAATGATGTGAGGGGGTTGTGGAAGAGGGGTCACCACGTGGTTTAAGAAGAACTTTAAATACAAATTTCATTCAAAATATCTTATATTATTTTATTCTTAAAAATTAGATTGTTTTGTTTTGGAAATCCCAATTGGAGAGGGAGAATTTTTGAGACTTACGAAAGTTTCTCTCTTTTTAAGACCACAATCACCACACCAAACTATTTACTTAATACTCTAACATCACATATCCTATTTTTTTTAAATAAGATATTTTTCATGTTTATTTTTTTAATATACAATTAATTTATAATAAATTTACGTAAATCCATCTAAGCCGTCTAGACGTTCACTTAAGTTCTGCCTAACCGTCTAAGCGTTAGACGTCAGTCCACCGTCTGATCAGCGCCTAGCGCTTTTTAGAATTTAATTAAAACAAACCATTTTATTTTTAGATTTCCATCCCCTTCCTCTAAAAAAAAATCCCATCTTTCTTTTCCATCAAAACCTCGTTTTTCCGCTCCCCAAACCCCCAATTTTCCTGAGAAAATCGCCCTCCCCGGCCACCCATCTTGTTGCGCCCCCCCCCGGCGGTCCCGACGCCGATCCGTCATTCTCAATCCGAAAACGAGAAGAGAATTCCAGAGTTGTTGATTCTTGAGGTGAGTTATCGTACCTTTGATTTCTCGTATTGATCTCTAGGTTTTGGATGATTGGATACATGGGTTTTGATAAAGTATGAATTTTGAGATGTTTGTTGTTCTTGTTTCCTGATATGGGTTGTGTATTTCTTGATCTTGCAGATTTTATGGTTTTTGCTCTTTTGGGTCTCGTTATTTGCTTCGATTTGTGTTGTTATTGCCCGAATAATCCAAGATCACGATGCATCCCAAACTTCAAAATTTCCAAATCGTCCTGCAATCTCCCGATCTCCAAATCCCAACCCAAACCCTAACCCTATCCCCAATTCAGACCCCAACTCTCCGCCACCTCAAGCTCTCAATTTTCTCCCGTGTCCTACCGTCGCTTTACTTCACCCTCAATGGTAAGCCCCTAAATGACTCCACTCCGCTTTTCGATTCCCAAATTACCCCTCTTTCTACTCTGATTTTACGGATTAGAGCTCTTGGAGGTGGCGGCGATGGCGGCGCGACGGGAGCGGAGTCTCGCGACTGTTATCTCAAGATGTACGCGGAGAAGAAGCCCGATAAGGTTGACCCGAACGAGCAGAGGCTTTCGAAGTGGCTCAATTGTGCGCTGTCGAACGAGCCATTGAAGGAGCCGTGCGTAATGGATTTTCTGGGGAACGTGTTTAACAAGGAGGCTCTTGTGGAGGCGTTGTTGGGGAAGAAGGTGCCCAAGGCGTTTGGGCATATAAAGGGGTTGAAGGACATGATCAGTATTCATCTTACCCCAATTACTGGGGCCGAATTCAATCGCCAATCCGTTGCTGGGCCGCGGTTTCAGTGCCCCATTACAGGGGTCGAGTTCAACGGTAAGTGTAAGTTTGTGGGATTAAGAACTTGTGGGCATGTGTTGAGTTCAAAGGCTTTGAAGGAGATAAAGTCGTCGACTTGCCTTGTTTGCCATGTGGGATTTTCAGAGGCGGATAAGATTGTGATTAATGGGAATGAAGAGGAAGTTGTGGAGTTGAGGGAGAGGATGGAGGCTGAGAAGGCGAAAGGGAGAGTGAAGAAGGTGAAGAAGACGAAAAATGGGAATGCTGGTGTGAATGGCGAGGAGGAGGGTGTGGGTTTGGAGGCCTCACGGTTGAGTGGTACCAAGCATGGTATTGATGCTAGGGCTGTGGAGAAGGTTTCAGCAAAGGTAGAGGTAAATGGGAAGGTTGTGAATGTTGGAGCTGATGTGAAGGGTGCGAGTAATGGTGGGGCAAAGAGGTTCAAGGCGGTGGATATAGCCCCTGCTAATGCTACTAAGGAAGTGTATGCGTCCATCTTCACGTCGTCAAGGAAGAAGGATTTCAAGGAAACATTTTCCTGCAGATCTCTCCCACTTGGTAGAAACTGATTGATGGTAAGGTCTAAGAGAAAGTAATACCGTCTTACTTGTAATGTGGGCAAAGATATCATTCATTGCTCTGTTGTAATTGAAGTTCATCTTTAATAGGACACTTTGACTTGTTATGTACTCTCTTTCGATATCTAGTCGCTTGTTTAGCAAACTATTCCTTGGTGTACAATAATGTTTGTGAAGATGGTGATTTCGACGTTGCTACTTCAACTAAGCAAGCTTTACTTTGCAGCAATATCACTAGTAGGCAGAATCAGAAATTTGGTAATGGTTCAAAAACTTTACAGTTACTGAACATCAAGGTCCATACTTCACATTGAACTCCTTTCGGGACCTTTGTTCTTATATTGGTAGGATCTTGCTACGCTTTTCGGGACCTTTATTTCCACCACACCATTTTGCACCCTTGCTACCGCATTAAGTGAACATTCATTTGATTTTTCCCTCTGAAATTTTAATTTTATTTCAAACCTCATGTACTCTCAATCCGTGCCACTATCCCTTGGCCTTAGTTTCCTCGTGTACGTTGATACAAGTTATTACTCCTAAAATTGTAATAAATTTAACGGCTTGAAAGAAATTGACACGAATTGAGAGTTTAATAATGAGACTCGAGTGGAACCTACACCACGATCTTTCCCCTACTTGGTCCTTCAGCACGGTTGAGATCCGTAGTGCATCATGAGCACAAGCAAGGGGGCGATTGAGCATCTCATCGGAGAGCGAAGTGAAATGAGGTCCGAGAAATGAAATATAAAGAAGGGCAAAAACAGCAAGGGGGTAGAAATGAAAAAGTAGGGGAGAAAACAGGTTAAAAAATAAAAAGCAAAAAAAGCTCCGAGAAATGTTGTATCTATAAGAACCCACCTCATGATGGATTCCCAGTTCACTGTCACCAACCTCACTAGCTATTCCTTGCTGTTACAATGCAAGCAAGGAAGGCTTGCACTCATCTCGCCTAAACGACGTTAAAACAAACCATTTTATTTTTAGCTTTCCATCCCCTTCCTCTATAAAAAAATCCCATCTTTCTTTCCATCAAAACCTTCGTTTTTCCGCCCCCCAAACCCCTAATTTTCCCGAGAAAATCATCGATTTCTCGGAGAAAATCCCCCTCCCCCGGCTCCCCATCTTGTTGCCCGCCCGTCCCGACGCCGAGACGTCATTCTCAATCCGAAAACGAGAAGAGAACTCCAGAGTTGCTGATTCTTGAGGTGAGTTATCGTACCTTTGAATTCTCGTATTGATTTCTAGGTTTTGGATGATTGGATACATGGGTTTTAATAAAGTATGAATTTTGAGATGTGGGTTGTTCTTGTTTCTTGATATGGGTTGTGGGTTTCTTGGTTTTGCAGATTTTATGGTTTTTGCTCTTTTGGGTCTCGTTATTTGCTTCAATTTGTGTTGTTATTGCCCGAAGAAAATGTCTACATTTCCAAAAAGCGATTCGATTCACATTAGGGAAGTTTGGAGCGATAATCTTGAGGAGGAGTTTAAATTGATTCGCAATGTTGTAGAGGAATACCGATATGTAGCGATGGACACAGAGTTTCCCGGTATCGTTTTGAGGCCTGTAGGGACTTTCAAGGACAGTTATGATTATCACTATCAAACCCTTAAGGCCAATGTGGACCTCTTGAAGTTGATACAGTTGGGTCTCACATTTTCTGATGAGAAAGGGAACCTTCCGACCTGTGGAACTGACAAGCACTGTGTGTGGCAATTCAATTTCCGTGACTTCAACCCCAATGAGGATGTGTATGCCAGTGACTCAATAGAATTACTGTCCCAGAGCGGTATGGATTTCGTGAAGAACAATGAGAAGGGTGTTGATGCTAGTAAGTTCACCGAGCTACTAATGGCATCCGGAGTTGTGCTTTCTGATAATGTGGTTTGGGTGACGTTCCACAGTGGGTATGATTTCGGGTACTTGCTCAAGCTGCTTAAAGGCCAAAGCCTCCCGAACACACAGGTGGGGTTCTTTAAAATGATCAAGGTGTATTTTCCTACAGTTTATGATATCAAGCATCTGATGAGGTTCTGCAACAGCCTTCATGGTGGGTTGAACAAACTCGCGGAGCTGTTAGATGTTGAGAGAATTGGTATCTCCCACCAAGCTGGTTCGGATAGTTTGCTCACTTGCAGTACATTCATGAAACTGAAAGAGACTTTCTTTGATGGTTCTATTGACAAATATGCTGGTGTTTTATATGGTCTTGGTGTTGAGAATGGACCTATTTCTCCTTGAAAAGAAAAAGAAATACCAATAAAAATAAAAAAGATTTAGTGGACTATATCTCTGTGCATGTTTCTGTCTCATCGTATGCTCATCTTTTATCGTTTTCTTCTAGATATTGAAGCTGCCATTGTGTGTTTGAATTACGATTTATGGTTCATTACCTTGCTTATGTTTGCACATTCTCCTGGTCAGCTTCATAGTGTTTAATTAGAATCTGCCTCTGTTTTCCTTAATAGCTTCCTTTTAACTTTACACAATCCTTTCTTTTGTGATGACTGGAGAAAAAGCGAAGACTATTGGTACTTTTAGTGCTCGTGAACCTTGTTTTCGCAGACTGTTTTCGCTTTTCTTTCTAGTTTTTATCAATCAGATGAAGCCTTGCACTATATGTACTGTGGTTTCTGCAATTCACTTCATGTATCTCTAGCAACCTTGAAACATAAGGTTCTTGCCGGTTATGTCATTTTCCTTTATCCGAACAGGTGATCCCTTTAGCAGTATGCTTGCCCGGTAATTGTGTGAGACATCTCATTGGTGCATCACCTTGGTCCTAAAAGCATCAGTAATGTTATTCTGCCAAGTGCTTGATGAGTACACCAAGCATTGTTTCCTTTATGTTTCTTGCACGGATTGTTTCTCCGGGATGGAAAACAGATCATCGATTTGTGACTACAAATTGGCACGACAATAGGGTTTGCGTTTTGTTGGAATAAGATTTTTGTAAGGATTTGTTTAAGAGGCATGTTAGGTGTGTGGATGTATTGTCTTAGACTGAACTTGTTTTGCATGTTTCTAGAGATTTTCATGTGCTTTTGCCAACTGATTGATGACTCTAAGCACTGCTTCCTTTATTTTTCTTGCCGGGTTGTTTCTCCGGGTCGAAAAACATGTTCCATCTCCGGTCGGACAACATATTATAGACAGAACTTGTTTTGTTAAGTCTGAGAGCACACAATTGTAATGTATGTCTGCAATGAAGGCTGTGTCAATGGATGATAGTGCTGCAAAACTTCAGTTCCATAAGTTGTAATAGTTAAGGGGTATAAACAATTTTACAGAATTCACAGAGAAGCAGAAAATTTCACCCTTTTGAGACTTTAACGTTGTTTGAAGACAAACAATAACAAAGCCTTATCCCTCCAAGTGGGGTCGACTGTATGAATTTTGGAATGTCATTGCGTTCAGTTTTGCGACTTTGAGGTAGTTTGAAAACGTGAAACAAAAATACACTTTCAGAAAAAATACCAATGATCTTAATTAAGTAAAAGCACCACACTAGTTTCTACTGTAATGCGAAGCTCATGGCTGCAAGTTTTGAGCAGTCCTCAGCGCGGAAGAGTAGTAATGGGATTCGAGCTCCTTGAGGCTAGCAGCTGCCTCCTCTCCGATTCTAGCCAACAGGCGGTCTGTGTTCTCGGCTTGCTGGTTGAACTCCACAATTCTTTTCTCTACATGATCATTGAGGGAGGCAAACCCTGAAAATATTGCCGTCTGTTTCAATTCCGACACCAACTTAAGCAGAGAATCAGCTGCCTGGACCTGTGTTCATAGATTTAATCGTAAACAACCAAAGAACTCAAATGCAGAAATCAACCGGGAAAGATAAACATGTCCAAGACAGTCTTCGCAAGCAAGCTTGCATTAACCTAGAGTTCAACTGAAAAGGCCGGACAACGCGTAAACAGAATTTCCATCACAAACGTGATCCTAAGTCATTAATCAAGAGGACGAGCAACCATTTCTTTTGTCAATCTATAAGGAAACTGATTTATAAAACGAAGAACGTGTGTCTTGTTTGTGCTCCGTCATGCTTAAGTGAGTGCCCCAAATATGAAAATGGAACATCTTTCGGGTGGAGAACAACCGGCAGTTCCACCATAAGGCCGGTGAACGCAATTGCCCTCCCCGCCCCCTGCATTATTCCTACACACGAATTTTCCAATGTTCATTTGTTCCGGGAAGAAATATTTCTGAATCCGCCACTTTTGTACAACGAATAGCGGCCGATACTAAATTGGGTTTAGCCTTGCAAACTAAACGACAACACATTCTGATTCCAAGTTGTAAATTAATCCATAAGCACATGATTAAGAGCTAACAAAAAGTGATCAGCTGAACAATTTTGCTAATTGAACTGAGAGGAGGGGAAGGAAAAGGATTCACCATTCGAGCAGCACGCATCTCCATCATGAAAGCTTCCTGAGAGTTTCTAACAGGCGGATCATTCACCTGCAATTACACCCCCAAACCAAAATTTTAAATTTTCTGAAATTGTGACTTCAAATTAAATTGTAGAGAGAGAGAGAGAGAGAGAGAGAGAGAAACAGAGTCTAACCCTGGAGACGTGGACGAGGTGGCTGAAATTGTCGACGATTTGGGAGATGTCGGTCTCCACTCTCTGAAGCAGCGCCTTCTGCTTCTGAGCTGCCGCCACAGCAGCAGCCGCGGTGGGACCGCTCCCCGCGCCTCCCAATCCTCCTCCCCCTGACGCTGCACCTCCGCCCTTATTCATTCTTCTTCTGAATGCTCGCCAAAGCTACTGATATGGGTCGTCGTCCAAGATGGAAGTGAGTTTTTCACTTCTCAGAAAAGTCCGATTATTTTGCTGTCGAATTTTTGGGGTTTTGTTGGTAGAATCAGAGGAGAGACGATGTCGTTTTGGGATAGAAAGCACGGTTTTGTTTCAAATTCAAATGTGTGTTGTAAAAGCACCTTGCTTCCCCAAAAAAAAAACAAAAAAAAAAAAAAATTTAGAAAGTGCTTCTAAAAACAGAGCGTAGAAAATTGTGGATTGTCATAGAGGGAATGGTACCAAGTGCTTTTAAGTTTTTCTAGTGGAAAAAAAACGATTTTGACAAAAAAGAAACGCCTGTTGTAAAAGTTGTGGGAATGAATACTCACATGTTTTAGTCAAAGATGAAAAGTGAGGGAGGCTTAAGAATAGTAGCATTATTGTTGTTGTATGCTATTTTTTAAGATGCACTCATTTCACTTTTATAATTCTTCACGGATATAGCTCTATATAAGGAGCATTTCATGTATGATCAAAACACACAAAACAAAAAAGAAGTGAAAACAGTAATATCAATATCTCTTCCTTCCCTTATTTACCTGCAATCCTTTTGTGTTTTAGTTACGAAAATAAACAATGTGATACATTGCATCCGTTTTGCTTTTGTCACTAGCAAAGGTTATCTCTCAAACTTTTGCCTATTATAACAACGCCAAATATTTGATATTGTTCCATTTGAAGGAGAGCTCAATTCCAAAGTGCCTCCACTTGGATACGAATCTAAATCCTCTTTGTGAGGATCCCGGAAATCCTTGAATTATGTCTGTTCATCATACATTGTGTTGTCAGAAATCATTCTAAATTTTTTTATTTAAAAATGAACATAAATAGTTTCTAACGAAAACTGACCGTACGATATACAATTAACGAACATGATTCACGGATCTCCAAAATCCTCATAAAGAGGATCCAGAGAGGATCCTGTTGGCTTGGATACCGACGCAAAATACATGGTGAGAGTCCGGGGATCAGGTTTGGTGAAACCAGTGTTTGTTTCTCCTTGTCAATTAAGTAAATTTTCTCACATGAGAGGTTGTTCTAAACTACTCTAATCTATTAAAAAGATGAACAGAGTTCAAAATCACGGGAAAGAAGGTAGCCGCACTGATATAACCAACTGACGTAACCTAAATCTACAATTTGACAAAAAAATGTCTCAAAAAGTGTTTAGAAGGCCAAGGAAACCTATCATTCATTTGAGTTTCTATAAACAACATAATTTGTGGTAAATAACTGTTTTCTTCTCTCTACTTCTCTCCATGTTTAGATAAAATCACACTTACAACAGTACTACTTTCAAATCAGCATTGCGCCATATAGCTTACACAGTGAATTAAAGCAATTGAATTGCCACAAGTTCGACCGATCAGTTTACCGGTGAAAATCTCACTAGCTTGATAATCCATCTTGAAGTCTCAACTTTCTTCGTGGTATTACGGAGAACCACTAGGACAACAAAAATGAGATAATCTTGTCACGTACATCAACCTAACCTTGCTTCTCTTCTTAGTACCTTGGAGAGGGAAAAAGACAAGAAGATTAGAGTACGAAGACAAAATTAGAACATCAGATCTAACAAAGTGGAAAACAAAAGGATAATAAGTCACCTCTTCAGCAAACTTAATTAAAATGGTTGTTCGAGGCCGTTGCTGTCCCTCCACTGGTACAAAATGCGCTGTTACCACAGCTGGGAAACCAGCACCATCCAAAACTCCCTTCAGAGAAAAGGAAATGCCGTTCATACCTTATAAGCGGCAGGTATTTCAATTAACAAGCAACAAAGTACCATTGCACTTACCCTTACAATTCCAGCGACAAATGCTCCACAATTAAAGGTTCCCATGTCTTTTGGAATCGAAATAAATCTACAATCCAAAAATGGTGTATTAGCTGGGGATTAACCAAAACCTGCAGGTCCGGCTAACTGCAACAGCAAAGTAGAAATATCGTCATTGCATAAACTGTTACCTGTTCACAAGGAGCTCCTTCTCACTAATCATGTACTCATCTTCATGTTCAGTGCCTTTCTCAAGGGAGTCAGCTACCTAATTTTCGGGTACCATAAGGCAGTTAGCGTAGTTCCTAACTTTAAGTACATTGTGTTGTATTTCAGCCATTAAACTCCATGAACATGGAAAAGATAAAAGAAGGCTAAGCCATTAAACTCCATGAACATGGAAAAGATAAAAGAAGGCTAAGCAAAAGCACTCACCTTTCCAAATAACACCTTCCACACTGTGCTATGCACAAAAGACAGGATACCTAGCAACCGTGTCTCCCTCCTGTTTCCCTGTACCACCAAAGAACCATCAATATAACATTAAGCATCCATGCCAGAAATAGATCCAAATCCACAAACGCATATAATTTGTTATGAATTTGGACCATTAGGGTTCTAGGCTCCAAAACATCAGGATAACAATGCTATATCCAAACTCCGAATGATCAGCACAGAGCACCAATAAAAATTCATAATTTCTTCTCCTGCCTAGGGATTAGTTTATAACCACAACTGAAAACATTTGTTGCGTAATTTGAGCTTGCAGTATGTAGAAGAATCCAATTCCATCATATGCATCCAATATGTACACAGACCAAAACCACATATTTCTCACTTAGTGCCAAATGAAGTAACGGTATCTTATTATCGTGATTACAAAAATTATAGTAATGGATATTTCTGCTCAACGAGAAGTCATACCTTATCCCTATGGCAAAGAAGCTCCAGAACTCGAGCCCCAACAGCATATCCTGCATCCTCCAGCCTGCTCCAGTTTACATAAAATATTACTGAATTTCGGTTTCTAACATTCACGTATTAGAATTTCAATAGAAGTCACTGTAGAGCTGAAAGGGACAAAATTGTCTTTGCCAATAGAAATTGTGACTCTCACCGCCTCAAGACCCTTTTTTTCATTCTAATTCTTCTTCCAAACCATCTCTGTGATTTTGCTAGATTGCAGAAGAAACTGGCAATATTAAGTAAACCAAGCGATTCTGGACCATAACATTTTGTCATCACTTACCGCCTAGAGTTGCACACCCAGCTAATCTAAGTGAGCTCACAAGTTCATTTTCGGATAACATTTTCCTTATGAACCTAACAGAACCCTAATAGTAACCAAATTTGAAATGTGCATGATGAGCACATAACAATATATCGAATACACTGGTAATTCAAATCACCTTCGTTCTAACTCGGCAATGTTGTCAACCTGCGTCTGATTGTACTGAACGAGCTCCGAAAACAAGAACGCAAACGCACTCAAACTAACCTGAAAAAAACATCAAATGCTAAAATCAACAAAACTCAAAAAATCCAAAGTAAGTGAATAACCTGAACCAAATTGCCCAGATCACAAGTCACGTAGAATTCGACAAACCAAAAGACCCATGTGCTCAGAACTCGGATTTGAGGTCGGCTTGAGCATAATTGCAGCATAACACTTGGAAACTAATGTAATTTAAAGACTTTACTTACGATTTTGATTAATTTTTCCCCAAATCACAGTAGTAACATACATAGATCCAATAAAATGCAGCCATTTGTCGAAGATTAAGGTAATCTGATCAAGCTTAGCATAAACTAGAGAGAGAGAGAGAGAGAGAGAGAGAGAGAAGGGACCTCCTGTTTGCCCTTGCTGAGGGGCTTGTCGAGGACATTGGAGTATTGCTTGATCTTCCCTACTCCAATCATGCTTCCCCGACTCTTCTTTTTTTTTTTTTTTTTTCCTCCGGATTTGAAGAAATTCGAAGAAGCAGAGTTGGTGGTGTTTGCGGATCGGATTTTCGGAAGCACAACTTGTACACAACTCTCCCTTCCTCTGTGTATTCGATCGACTCGCTGCTTTTCAGTGCCGGTCTGGACCGGCAGCTTCCACGCTCTCCTCCTTATTTTTTATTTTTGAAAAATTATATGATAAATGTTCAAACAATTAACATTAAACTAGTCAGTGTAACAAGAGAGAAAAAAAGTATTTTGCACTTTGGCTTCTGAGATTTAAAGTTATTGAATTTGTCAATTATCAATCATTTTAGTCATTTTGTAAAAAATAATTGTTAAATAAGAAAAAATAGCAAAAATACCCTCGATTTTTGTCAAATAAATTTGGCTCATTGTTATTTCTTATTTAAAAGAGCTTTTGACGTAAGGATCAAAATAATCGACGGCGTTTGATTTAGAGATGTACAAAGTGAAAAAAAGAAAGAAAAGAATCGATTTAACTAGTCATCCTTACTTGATTTGATTCTTGTTTTTCAAGTACTGAATTACAAATGTTCAAATGAAGAACCATATTGAAAACATTAGGAACTACAAAATCAGAACAACCTCAATTTTATTGTTTAGATGTAAAATTCATCGACTTATGTCATCGTATGAAAATTTGCAAGAAAAGGGGAAGGGGTTGGACTTGGTTGTAACCCACCCAGCACACCACCAGAAAACTTTCAAACCAACCCAAAAAAGTGCCCAACAACAAAAGTACACAACACTTCTCAAAAGTTTGTTCAACCCAAACCAACCCAAAATTGCCACAACACAACACATATCTATTAGTTAACCCACCAATAACAGAAAGACATCCCAATTGGCAGCCCATATCTCATAGACTCATACTACACAGTCAGTCCCTTGATTTAAAAGAGAAAAGAAAATTCTCAGAAAAAAATTATTAAAAATTAATTTCAACACATTTTTTATTTTTCTTCTGCCGTGTCTTGATTGTTATCATCATTTTTTTTTTAAGAAAGTAATTTAAAAGAGGACAATATGGGTTTGTTATTTTTTTCAAGAAAGTAACTTATAGGGGGAAATCAAATCTTCAAACATTTTAAGAAATAATAATTTCTAATTTTTTTAATTTAATAAGTGAAACTAAAATCGAAAAACAAAAATAAACATGAATGTGCATAACAAAATAATAACGTACAAAAACCGTTTCTCCTTTTTATTAACAAATTATCAAATTAAGAGATTGTGCGAAGCTCTTTTAATTAAAGCTCTTGAAAATAAATAATAAATACCCTTTGAGAATTAGAATTTTTGGAATCCAAAACAAATTGGAAAAAAAAAAAAGGAAGGTAAAACACATAAAAAGCAATGCTTTGAGTTTGAACACATTGGCCATTGCTTCACTCCTTTGGCTCTTTGCAGACCTCAAAACCCTCTCCTCCCTCTCGTTCTCTCTCTAAAACACACTTTCTCTCTCTAAAGCTTCCTCCTCTCCGATGGAAGACGACGACGAATTCGGAGATCTCTACACAGACGTTCTTCGACCCTTTGAATCGTCCCAACCATCATCATCATCTGCGCCGCAGCCCCACCGATCCTCCGCCGCACCCCAATCTTTCCACCGTCCGATCGATGTCAACGTCCCCGACGAAGAGGACGAGATCCTTTTCGCAGCTCCTCACTCTAATCCCTCTGTTTCTCACCCGTCCAATTCCCAAACCCTAGCTCCCGCCGCCTCTGTTCCCACCAATTCGGCTAGAGATGCCGCTCCGGCTGGCGGGTCTAGGGTTTTGGAGGCTAAAGATGTCGAATTGCCGAAAGTCAATTCCGTGGATTTGAATATTGGTGGTAAAGATTTGGATTTGATGGACAAGGATGTGAATTTCGACATCGAGGAGGCTAACAATGGAGCTGATGCTATGGGTTTGGACCCGGTGATTCCCGGGCTATCAGATACCTTTACGGTCACTGGTGCTGCGGTGAATATCGGCAACCCAGAAGGTTCAAGAAGAGATGGTGAGAGAGGCGAAGATGATTGGGACAGCGACGATAGCGACGACGATTTGCAGATAGTGTTGAATGATAACAACCACGGGCCTATGGCTATGGAGAGAGGTGGAATGGGGAAGATGAAGATGACGATGACGGGCTCGTTATTGTGGCTGATGGTGAACCGAACCAGCCAATGGACGACCAAGAGTGGGGTGAAGAGAGCACGCAGACAGTGGAAGGCGAGAGGAAGGAGATGGGTGAAGCCGGGAAGACTGGTGCCGGCAGCGTGGTTGTGCCCCCAAAAGTTGGGTATAGCAGTCATGGGTATCATCCATTTCATTCTCAGTTTAAGGTTAGTTTAGTTTTGATAATATGTTGATTAAAGTAGTGAACTTTATGTATTTGGGGTCTTTGTAAAGTCCCCTTTCTATGATGAGAGATTATAATTGTAACTTATGCTTTGTAACGATTTGTACAATGTGAATATATTGTTGATAATCCATTGAAGTGAAAATTTATAATTTGAATGTGTTTTCAGAATTCTGGTATTTACCTCGATAGACGATACTTGAAAACTTGAGGAAGTCACTGTAGTTTAGTGTAACTACTCAGGACAGAATCAAATCTGTTCATTTTCTCGGATAGTCTTTATCAAAACATTTGAGTTTTAATTAGCTGGGTTTTACCGTCATGATTAATTAGCTGGATATTAACTTCTCAATAGGCTTAGCTGTGGGGGACAACTGCAGTGATACCCTCCTTTATAAATTTTAATTTTTCTTAGAAAAATTATTGAGGACTAAGCATGCTATTTACATTTACTCTTTTCGAGAAATATTGCTCCAATAGCCAATTCGTTGATCAACGCTTTTTGTCTAACAAACCTTTGCAACTCCAGTCCTCAGATTTCTTCACCATCATCAACCCTTGATTATCACGTGCGGCCGCTTTAATGCTGATATGTAGAATTTAGGTTCCACGTGCTGGATTCTGTAGCGTTGCCTAGCTGAGGCACATTAACTACAGCGTGGCCTGTGGCACAATAATTACAAAGCTTAGCGATTAAGGAGTTACAATGATAGTTAACTGTGGAGACATATCATTAACGGATTTCTGAATTTTCTTATGAAAATTTACTTCAAAATTTTTGCAATTGATGAGATTTGTTTATACCCCAAGAACGTTAGACGTAGTATGTCCTCATTGCTCTCTAATGTCTGCCCTTTTCAATCTTGCTGTAGTAAACGGTGCAGTTATTAAGCTATGTTTCACGTTATATATATATATATATATATTCTATTAACGAGTTCATAGTGAAACCTTCCCATATACAAAAGCACCTACTGCTTGAAACTCTGGTTGCTAGCAGTCTTGTACGCTGTGCATGTTGTTCCCACCACTTACAGTGAATAAGATCTTTCTAGAGTTGTTCTTTGAATGTATTACCTAGTGAAGAAGAATTTCCGTGCTTCTTTTATTCTAGATTAGGGAATTTTCCAATCGTTAACATGGAGAAGCATGATTGCTACTCATTCCTATAATGTAGGTTTTGTGATAGCACTTGACTTCCTCTTTTCTTATAGACGACCATAACTCATTTTGTGATTTTGTATCTCATCTTCAACATAAGGAACAGTTTTCATGCTAGTAGTTTGTTAACGGTAATGCTCTATTTCTTACCTAAATATGGTTTCTTGTTATGCAGTACGTAAGACCTGGTGCTGTGCCAATGCCTGGGCCAACTACTTCTGGCCCTGGAGGAGTCCCAGGTCAAGTTCGTCCACTTTTAAACATGGGTCCTGTACCTGGCCGAGGTAGAGGTGACTGGAGACCAACAGGAATGAGGGATGGCACTCCTCTGCAGAAGAACTTTCATTCAGGCTTTGGTACGCCTGGCTGGGGCAACAATACGGGAGGTCGTGGTTTCGGTGGTGGACTGGAGTTCACACTTCCTTCACACAAGTAATCTTCATCATTTTAGTTATCAATACAGTTGGCTTCATTTTTGTAGTTCTATGATAGTGCCATACTGTCATGTTTTGTTCTCCTTTTGTTTTGGGTTGGAAACATTTAGGGTTAGATATGTTAAAAGCATGCTGAAGTGAATACAATATTTTTGTTTTGGACCTCTTTGATTTCTTCATTATTTATGTGTTACTAGAGTGCAATGGGCGATGCAGTTTGTCTGTGTATGCTCTATGCCTCCTGTCTGCGTTCTATTATTTTGAGTGTCATGTGTTAGTGTAACCATTTGGTAAGTTGGTTTTGTTCAGTATTGTTTTCTGGAACTGCTTATGTGTTGCAGGACCATATTTGATGTCGACATTGATGGTTTTGAGGAAAAACCTTGGAAATATCCTGGTGTTGATACATCGGACTTTTTCAACTTTGGCTTAAATGAAGATAGCTGGAAAGATTATTGCAAACAGCTGGTAACAATAAACTCTAAAGCATTTTGTCTATTGTATGAGAGGGAAGGCTATAAGTGCCCCTATATTTTAAATTTGCAGGAACTGCTTCGCTTGGAGTCCACCATGCAAAGCAAAATTCGTGTTTACGAAAGTGGACGAACAGAACAGGTAATAAAGTGATTATGTACCTCTAGAAAATCCATTGGATTTTTCAGTTTTTAAATATTTATTCTTAGCAACCTTGTATAGGTAAAATTAAAAGAGTAAAGTTTACCTGTTACTGTCATCATCACAGGAGTATGATCCAGATCTGCCCCCAGAGCTTGCAGCGGCAACTGGTATTCACGAACTTCCTCCTGAAAATGCAAACCCTGGGAAGTCAGATGTTGTCCAAAGTGATTTAGTAAAAGGAACTGCTCGTCTGCGTCCTCCTATTGTATGTATAGCTGGTTTCATGAGGTCTTTTATTTTATTTTATTCTACTATAAAATGATGTCTTGCCTTTTATTTCATGCTGTTCATCCTCTTGATCTGTGCATGTTGTACAAGCTCCATAATAATGCTAGCTCTTGTTGACCTGATAGAGGATATGCTAGTTTCCAAACTCATTAGCTAAATAAAGTCAAATAAAAAAAAGTTAGTGATCAAATCAACTTCTTGCCAGCCAACTGGAAGAGCAATTCAGGTGGAAGGTGGTTTTGGTGAGCGTCTCCCCTCGATTGATACCCGACCACCTCGGGTTCGTGATTCAGATGCGATCATTGAGGTACTATTTGAAGCCGTCATTTACTTTGCTGATCCTATTGTTGGAAGTTTTTATCGTATTTTTGGATGTGCAATATAAGTTAACTTCTTGATATTCTGTAAACAGATTGTCTTGCAGGACTCTTTAGATGATGCTTCCTCTGCAGGAAATGGTATCCCAGACGGAGCTGAAAATGATCACCCAAGAGAGGGTTTTGGTAGAGGTGAAGGACACCTTGCACAGGTTGAGAGTGAGTACTTTGATGGTTTGCCCCAGGCTTATAACGATAGAAAGAGGGAGTTGGTAGGAAGAAAAATGCCTTTCCACGATGACATACCAGAAGAAAAAGGAAACCTGCCCTTCCCTCCTGATGTTCCAGTCCCATATACTGGTTCTGGGGGTGAGACGCCTAGTTATCAGGAAAGGTAATAAGATAACTTTTTGTTTGTTGTGTTGAAAATTATCACCCATATAGACTTCTAGAATAGGATTATTTAAAAAAAAAAATGACCTTGCAACATACTGATATGATATTCTGGGTCGGATAATACCAATTATGCCGCCAACTATAAGAGCACCAATCCCCTTTTTGTTGTGGTCACAAAAATAAAAACTGTTTAAAATCAATAGGATGTTCTCTCCGTTTGTAGTCAAATCTGGGAACCAGATAACAATGTATTCATGGAAGTACATGAACGCGTCACTTCATATTATAAGCTTTTATGGTGTTGAGCCATACAAAATTGATTTTTTTACAGCTTTGGAGTCCAAACTTCATGAATGCCTTTTTAACTCTCTCCTTATGAATACAGGAAAACACAACTAAGAGCACGTGATGGATCTCCTCATGTGGCTCCTAGTCAAAATACAAGAGACAAGAATTACCTTGAAAATCAGAAGGAAGAATCAATTGAAAGTGTGGATGGTAAACGCAGTCCAGGGACATCATCACCTGTCACAAATAGGGCTGCACGCTGAGTCAAGTGCTGAGTATAGAGATAGTGACCAGGATGAGCCTGTGCTGGCTGATGGAAGCTCTGAAATGGGAAAGGAGGAAACGGCTACGGTTGCTGAAAATGATGCCCTGCAAGATGAGCCTCCGAAGCATAAAAAATTAGTTTCAAGAGTCGAACATTCTGCTGACGAAGAGCTTGATGATGGAGAGGACTTGAAGGCTGCAAGAAGTAGTGACAACAGCAAAGCAAGATCAGGAAGCAGCAGGGATTATCAGAAGTGGAGGGATGGGGTCGAAGAGGAAGTCATTCAAGGACGTTCAATGCATATGGGGGGCATCAAGAGGCATCTTGATGAGAATGAACAGGGGTTCCAGAGGAAAAACCGTGATGGTAGACAGGAACCAGATAGAAGTCACGTGGTAGTAAAAGGGAGGGAAGGCTCTTACCCTTATAGGGACTGGGATCCTAGCTCTGCACATCAGTTGCAATTGAAAAATGATGGCCTTCATAGGCGAAAGGAGAGGGAGAATCTTGATGGAGCATGGCAACAGAGAGAAGATGATCCTTATAGCAGAAGGATCAGGCCTGAAGAAACAAGGAAGAGAGAACATGGTGATGAAATGGGATCCAGGCACAGGAGTAAGGGTCGAGAAAGTGACAGGAGTGACAAAGATGAACATCTGCAGTCAAGAAAACAGTTGGACAATGGCAGCTATAGGGCTTATCATGATAAGGATGTTGGTTCACGACTCAGGGAAAGAGAGGGTAGTTTGAAGGGCAGGTATGAACACGTGGAAGATTACCATGGCAAGAGAAGGAAAGATGAGGAATATATAAAGAGAGACCATATAGATAAAGAAGATTTTTTGCATGGCCACAGAGATAATACCACTCGCCGAAAGCGTGAAAGGGATGAAATTCTGGATCCACGTAAGAGAGACGAGCAGCAGAGAGTTAGAGAAAATGTTGATGATCTGCACTCTGTTAGGCACAAAGATGACAGCTGGTCGCAAAGGGAGAGAGGTGACAGGCAAAGAGAGAGGGAGGAGTGGCCTAGGGTCAAACAATCCCATGAGGAAAATATACCCAAGCGCGAAAGAGATGAAGGACGAGTTGCTATAAGGGGTGGCCGTGGTGCAGAAGATAAAGCATGGGTTGGCCATACTAGGGCAAAGGAGGAGAACAAAGGCTCTGATAAGGAGCACCAATATAAAGAGACTGTGCGGCACAGTGAACCATCTAAAAGGAGAGATAGGGTTGAGGAAGAAAGCTCGCATCATAAGGGACGTGACGATGTTCATGGACGTGGAAATCAAATAACTAATGATCAGAAAAGATCTGGAAAGGAGAGATCAAGTACTCGTAATGAGCGTGCTGACAGCCAAAAGGTCCATGACAGAAAACATAAAGAAAGTTCAAGGAAGACTAAAGAATCTGTGATTGCTAATAACAGCATCACTTCCAAGAGACGTCAAGAAGATCAAAGTGGTCAGAATAAGGAGATGGTATGTTCTTGACATCAGTTCTCTTGTTTTGTTTTTCCCTCTTAATTCTTGTATTGTTTTTTTTTTCCCCTTGAAAAATAATGTATATAGGGTGCAATGCAAGCTTGATTTTGGAGTTCTTGTCAAATCCCAATTCTTTTTCTTTGTCATACCAATTAAATTCCAATATTAAATAGATTTTATATTCTGAGCATTTACAAACTTGACTTTCACTGGTTTGGTCCTGTTCTCCTTCATGTTTCACATCTGGATTGTGGGTTCAGCTTTCCATTTCCTCTTTTACTTACAAGAGCTAAAATCAGAAGATTGTATTCATATCTTCTCCTACTTAGTGGCTGCTTTCACACGAATAACGGGTATTTGGATGGTCAGCAATGATCGCATATTTAATGATTTGGTACACTTTGTTGAGACCAGTAGTAATGTTTTAGCTGCGTTTGAGTTTCTATGCTAACTTTCCCTGTTCAAATGAGGTTTGTGCTTCAACCAGTGTAGGGTCGTAGTCGTATGGAGGGGTTTGGCTTGTCCGCATCATGTGGCATACTGCAGTTGGATAAAGCACTAACAAGTAGAGCAGCATTTATATTTCTTGATGACAAATTACCTCCTAATCATGGAATTTTCATGCAGAATTCTTGTTATTCATAGTCAGTTTTTATCCTTTGTACATGACCCTAGTTGATTAATGTAGAATGTTTCCTCTCTTTTGCCCCTCTAGGGCTTGAAAGGCACCCATGTGCAAGGAACCGGTGAGGAAATCCCACAGCAGCGTCCACTCTTCCAAAAGGCATAAAGAAGATGCGTCCTCTGATGATGAACAACAGGATTCCAAAAAAGGGCGCTCCAAATTAGAACGCTGGACAAGCCATAAGGAGAGGGATTTCGGTATCAGCAATAAATCATCATTGAAGCTCAAAGAGCTTGATAGGATCAACAACAGAGGATCCTCAGATAACAGTAGAGTTCCAGAGGAATCTTCCAAGCCAGTTGAGGCTGTTGATAATCAACAATCAATGGCCGAGGAGAAGGATGCCAGTGATCAGGATATCAAGGACTCAGACACAAAACCACTCGATGCTGATGCAAAACCATTGGAGGAGCGACACCTGGACACAGTCGAGAAGTTGAAGAAAAGAAGTGAGCGTTTCAAGCTTCCGATGCCAAGTGAAAAAGAACCAGTGGCAATAAAAAAGGTGGAGAATGATGTGCCACCTTCCACCAATAGCGAGACTCAAACTCAGACTCAGACTCCTGTGGAGTCGGAGATCAAACCAGAACGGCCAGCTAGGAAAAGAAGGTGGATCAGTAACTGAATCTGCAAATACGGAACTTAAGGTTAGCTGGCTGAATCACTGTCGTTTGGGAGAAGTTACGCTTGGCCTAATTATTAAATTCAAACATCCCGGCGGTGCAATCATTGAACTTGTTTTTGCAATCGTAGAAGCCTGTGTACCTCTGCTCTGCAGCAATTATCATCTTGTAACCATGCTGCCGCAGCATACTTACAATGCGTTTGTTTGTACATACTGTTGATTGTAACATTGAACTGGCCACTGATGGTGGCACAGGATTGCTTTAGCAACTATTTCTAATTTTGATGCTCAGGTTTTTATGTGGCATGCTCCGAGGGTCATCTACCGGACCTGGCAAATGCTGTGTACGGGATATGTGAAGAATCCAACTGCCATCGGAAGCACGCCTCACAGGTTGAGCTTCACAGATGAATATAACGAGATTGAAGAACCGATGCGAAGAGGCGGATTTCCATTGGTTGGAGATGTTAGAACTTACTATCTGTATACTGTAACTTGATTAGCATATCTTGATCGAAGTTTTTCACCCTTTTACGCCTTTCTTTTAGCTTTAAAGATAAGAAAAATGGTGGTGAGATCGATAGTACACACAACATTTGAAGCCTATTTGTATTTTTGGAACAGGTGAGTTTAAGAAACATCGGATTACTAGAAAGTTAATGTAACAACACACAAATTGAATAGTTATCTGTTTTGTTAGTTATTCCACAAATCTCTTCTTTTACGTTTGTGTGACCATCTGATATCAACAATTTCCATCTTCTCCAACTAATATAACATCCCCACAAGTGGGTTGTAGCTCAAGTGAATAAAAGCATGTGTGTCTACGTTTAGATCTGATGTTTAATTTGTATTTCTCCAATATCTTTGTAAGCTACTGGAATGATTCATATAGTTGCGTCTTAAGAATTTGTCGACACTCGAAGTTTTATTATGATTGTATTTCAAACTAATATTGGAGAAGAGGCAACGTTGTTTCTTGGCACTCCCCTTCCTTCTTATGCCAACATAATTAGAAAAAAAGAAAAAAATAAAAAAGGATATGGGGCTTGACTTGAAAACAAACAACTTTCCTTGAAAACAAACAACTTTCCGGGCATTGCGTTTCAAATTACACCAAAGTATTTTTTATCAACTTCAAAAAAACAAAAAAGGTAAATTCTTTTATATGAGTGATGATCTAATCTAATAAAAATTAGAGTGAAATTCGAAGATATTCCATTGAACGTAACTAAAATTCGGATATCTATATATAAAGCTAATGAAAAGGTGAATGGTTACTTTGGTGTCATCAAGTTTCAATAAAAATATTCAAACAAAAATACCTCCAATACAAAGAACTTCAAAGCATTCTAAAATAATGCATACTTTTGTTTGTTTGTTTTTTTAATTAGTACATCACAATAAGCTAGCAATAATACGATTCAATTTCTCTATTTTTAAACACATTCAAAATATCTTAAGAGTCGTATAATGTTGGTTATAAAAAATATTATTCGCATGCAGATAATAATGTGATTAAATTAGTTGTCAAATGATTGTTTTTTTTTTTTTTAACAAACGATATTATCTACACTAAGGGGAGGGAGTGGGCTTAGCCTCATGATGGGCTAGCAATAATGTGATTCAATCAGTTGTTTATTAAATATTATTTTCTCTATTTTAAACACGTTCAAACATCTTAAGAGGTGTGTAATGCTGGTTAAAAAAAAAAGTCGTTCGCATGCAAATAATAATGTAATTAAATTAGTTGTCAAATGATTGTTTTGTTTTTTTTTTTTTAACAAACGATATTATCTTCACTAAGGATGAGAGAGTGGGTAGCCTCACAATGGGCTAGCAATAATGTGATTTAATCAGTTGTTTATTAAATATTATTTTCTCTATTTTTAAACACGTTCAAAACATCTTAAAAGATGTGTAATGCAGGTTATAAAATAGTTCTTTCACATGCGAATAATAATGTGATTAAATTACATTAAATTATTAGTCAAATGATTGTTTTTTTTTTTTTTTTTAACAAATGATATTATCTACATTAAGGGAGAGGGGTGGGCTAAGCCTCACAATAGGATAGTAATAATGTAATTCAATCGGTTGTTTATTAAATATTATTTTATTTTTAAACACGTTCAAAACATCTTAAGAGGCGTGTAATGCTGGTTATAAAAAAAGGTATTTCGCACACAAATAATAATGTGATTAAATTAATTGTCAAATGATTTTTTTTTTTAACAAACAATATTATCTCCACTAAGGGGATGTGCTTAGCCTCACAATAGGCAATTAATAATATGATTCAATCAATTTTTTATTAAATATTATTTTCTCTATTCTTAATGTTAATTCTATAAAGACCGATTTTATTACGTGAATTCAGCTGCTTTAATTGGTTTATGAGGAGTTTTTTCTAGCATGATCTAAGATTATTCATTTACTTCAAATATTTGACTTTTTTTTTTTTTGTCAATTTACTCATATAAATACATTTAAAACGTTTAAATCGTGCTAGCACATCGTGATTCAAAAAATATCTTTTTCGTGCGCGTGAAGGCTTGCATGAAAGGTATTTAAAAGGGAATTGTTATTAACACTCCAAAAATGTCATTCTACACTCCAAACTTTCTATATTAAGAAAAAAATACAAAAATGTAGAATGAAATTTTTGAAATGCTAATAATACTTCCTATTTAAAAATATAAAACATTTGGCCAGGAACAAAAAAAAAAACATCATGAAAGCCTATATACATGACGTTATGATTTGATGGCCACTTAATGGGCCCACCAAAGCATGATCCAAACGTACCGATTGGAAATTCGAACGCTTGAGGACTATGAAAGGTAATAATTAATATCAGACGTGGTCAATAATAGAGATTATGCTTCTCACCCACTCTCTTTCCATCTCCTTCCATCCTTTTCTTTTACATCTTTATTTTATCTTTATTTTTTATAAAAATATTAATATAAAATATTAACATCATTTAACCATAACCGTTATGTCGCTTTTAATCCGAATTCTAAGCGTGCGTTCACTCATACGACAGAATCCTTCTCCCAGTAATTGGACTACCGATCGACAAACTTAAACAGTAACATGTGCGCTGCTGCAGTCAGCACACTCGTCAAACAATATTGTACCTCACCAATAACACGCGGAGTACGAGTATCCTACGCTCTGGACCACCGTGCCATTCAGATCTGCAAGTACAGCTTTCAGCGAGATTTTGGGCGTCTCTCGCTCCTCTCTCTCTTTAACCAATGGGGAAAAAACCCAGTTGGGTTCCTACAGTGGTAACGCAGGTGTGTCTCTGCTTTTGTCTCTACCTTGCTTTTCAGCTGGGTCAGCCTTGGAGCTCTGTCCGCCATGGCAGAAGTGAGACGAGGCCGCTGGATATTTACTTCATCAGCGTCGGGGGAGGATTCCGGCCTCCCACCCGACAGACCCATCTTCTCAAACAGGTCACTTTCTTTGCTTACTGGAATTTCAATGCTCCTTATTGGGAAACGCGCATAAATAGAACTTTTTACAAATCGCAAATAAAATTTGAACTTTTTCGATAAAGGGGCAGTAAAGCGTGTTTTATTAACGTCCTCTTCAGTGGAAAAAGTGTTATTTTCATTACAAATTTGTAGAAAGTTGTATCTATGTATTCGATTTCGTTCTTGTTAGAAAATATGAGGATATTCATTGGCTTCAAGTTTTGATGTATGTGAAATTCAAAACTGTGTTTGTTGAGCAACCAAAAGTAGCAGAATGTTTAATCTGTTTCTGTGGGAGTAAATCCTATGTCGTTTTTTTTGTTTGGTTTACAGTAAATACTATGTTCTTGTTTGCTGAGGAATCTTGTATTCACCCTTGCCTTTGGTCTAATGCCGTCTGTAAAATGCGAGAAGCACATCTACTTGTTCGTGTGTAGGCAGTGGCTTACCGGTTCTAATTTTTCATTTGCTATGTACCAATGGAGTCCAAGAATTTAAGGCTGTCGGTAGAAATGTGTTGTCGGGTTTGATTCTTAGTATTAACCTTTGGTTTTGTGTTTCTTTAAGTGAAAGGAATAGGGGACTGACAGTATTTACGTTGTTTAATTGTGCTTCTTCCTGTTGGTGAAGATGGAGAAGGTGGCCAAGAAGTACAAGGCAGAGTTTGTGGTGGACATTAGCAATCTTGGGGAAGATGATCCGCTCATGCAGAATGTAAGGTTGTTCTTCTCTTCGCAAACTTTTGTGCTGCAAAGCCTTTTTCGGAATTATTGAAGCATGAAACTGGTTGCGTGAAAGAAAGATATCGTAGGAATCATGATATAACAGGTCTAATCGTGAAGTATATCTTTGTACTTTACACGAATAGATAAAGTTGATAGATTAAGGCTAGGAACATGTTCCTTTCTAAGGCTTCAACTGTTGGTAACAATGCTGGATATATTCACTTTACAGGGTACCCGGCATTTCTCATCACTGAAGGTTCCCTGGTACACCGTCCTCCATGCAATATTTTACATAATGCTGTAATTTTTTTTTAATTTTTTATCTCAGATTCAGCTGTGCTGTTTGCACCGTTGATTTTGCACTTGCAGGTACACCACCCGAGTTTCAGAAGGAAAAGGCAGAGGTTACTTCCAAAAGATGATTAAGTTACCTTGCGAGAAGACCTTGGATGTCATTGTGGTGGATACTGGATTATTACTGGTATGTTCTAATTTGTTTTTCGGTTTAATCTATCCAATCATGTTTCATTTTAGCTTTCAATGTGTTTGTCTGTCTAATAACTCACTACATCCTTTGATTTTGAATTTTTTTAACGTGAAGAATTTGACTGTGGGTTCATTAAATGAAGTTGGAAACACTCAGTTACATTGGCTGAGAAGGACACTGGAGACAACCGGTAGTAACTGGTAAAATTAATTATTGTATGGCCCTGCAGTTTGTGATTAACCTCTTCTGTTCTTCACTTTCTGTTCTTACGTGCTAGTGATATTTCAGAAACACAACGAAGCTTGAAGAAATTGCGAATGTTCATGAGTCATATTGTTTCTGTTTAGAAGTTACTGTAGTATTGGCAATGAAACTCTGACACTAATTTTCCTTTCTGATGCTTACATGAACTGGAATTGCTGCAGTATCTCAGATATGGCACCATCAAATGGTAACTAATATTCCAGTCGCTAACTGGCTGTATTTTCATATAGGCGCATAGTCGTTGGATTTCATCCGCTGGCTACTTGTGAAGATGTTGAGGAAAGAATGGAAGCAAAGCAAGTTTTCGATTCTCTACGAAGTACTTTACAAAATTTGAAGTGGTATGAACAAAGAGTTCTATGTATTCACTAATACCATGTTTCTGCACCAGTTCCAAGTAAAATGCAAAATCCGTCTTCTAAGTCCTCACCCGTACACGTTTTATATTCTACAGAATGCATACCTAAGTGGGCAGGGTTGCGCTAGCAGCACCGGATTAAGTAGTCTGAGCAACATCAGGAACCCAGGCAAAATGGCAGCACCCTCTGCCCGATTGTGCAGGAAATTGAAAGACGGGTTTCTTCTCCACAGAGTCAGCTCATTAGAGATTGTGAGCATTCATTTCTTTAGCTGTTTCATTACAAAGCTTTATTTGATAAAATTTGCAGTCCTTGGCAATTTGTCCATCGAGTTCAACATGTTCATTCTTCCGTTGTTTCGGGTTGCAGGAAACCTACATTGTTACATCAGCTGGAGAAGTTGTACATAAATCTGTACTCCATCAGAGAGGAAAGGAGATCATGTAAATTGTAACATTCTTTTTGCAGAGACTTCATATTTTTTTGACAATTTGATTACATCATTCACTTTTGCTTTCACTTCTTTTCAATGCTTAATGTAAAACCAAAAGGCAAAATTTTTGAGTTCCACCCAAGAAAAGGGAAACTTTTTGCAATGTGCTTTGAACTTAGTATCTTATTTCGACTTGCTTCTCGACTTTTAATTTGGTTATGAGCCCAAGTCTTTAACAACGTGTCAATTTGGCATTTACAGTTAGATTTATCAATTTTCCATCCAAATTGAACGTTTTTTTTTCCCTCTATTCAAGTGTGGCCGAGGGCGCAAAAGATGATCAACTTGACAGTAGGGAGCAAATTGAAACGTTTTAGAAAACTAGGAAGGGTTGTAGGTAAACTGAAAACTTGAGGGGTATTATTTTTTTGTCCGTTCAAGTGGGAAAAACCGAAAGAAAATGCGAGTAACTTGACAATAGGGGGCAAATTGGCACATTTAAGAAAATAGGGAGGCTTATAACTAAATTGGAAGTAGATGGAGGAAATTGAAAGAAGCTCAGAAGTTGGGGCCTTGAGGGGTATTGGGCTGTTGTTATGAAATGACGCAAACACCCTCCAATACAGTCCAACATATGAGGGCAAAAAGGGAAAACAAAAAACCTAGAGGCAGTATAAATATGTAGGTAGCCCTCAAAATTAGGGCTTCATTCACACTCCGATTAAAGAATGAGGCTCCGCTCCCTCTGGACCTTTTAGAGCCTGTGATTTCTCCCCCGCCACCATCACCACCTTCACTACTACTACTACTACTCTCTCTCTCTCTCTCTCTCTCTCTCTCTCTCTCTTTATCTATCTTTTCTCCTTCTTTTTCTTGTGGGTTTTTATGCTTTGAGGCTGTGACGATGACGTTGTTTCGGAGTGTGAAGTCGGTGCATGGTGAAAGGTGACGGCTTTCGTGGCGGGGCAACCCGGAATGGCCTGTGAAATGACGGTTTTGTCCTCTTCACAGGCAACCGTGTTTTGGTTGCAGCCACGGCAGCTGCCTCCCTTTCCCCTGCCGCCTGACCAATATTAACCAATCCGAGCCTCCGCATTATCTTCTCTGAACTTGTTTCTGTCGTCTTTTGTTTTTTCAGTGAAATTTTTGTAAAGGTCGCATTTTTTTTTCTTCACCCATTTGCTATTACGCAGATTAATGGAAACCCAGTTGTAAAAAATTGGAAATTACAGGTTAATTTTGATTTGCGGACGAGAAAATAATTTATATTTTACCTGAGTTTTGGGTTCTCAGATTATATGTATGAAGAAGAATCAATAGTTCAATAGTTGTGAGCTGAGCCCTAGCATTTTTCTTACTAAAATTAATGGGAAATTGATGACCTTGACTAATATTACAACGATCTAGTTTCTGATACAAAACTTCAATTTCTGATACGTAACGTATAAGACTCGAAACAGGCCACACTAGTACAAGTCACACAATTCATACCCGGATTTTTTTCTTAAGGATTCCGCAATTGTGTTTGTTCATCGTAACTTCTCTGATCAGAAATCATTTAAAATTTAAAATTCAAATATAAATAATACTTAATAAAAACTGATCGTATAATGTACAATAAACAAACATAATTGTTGGATCCTAGAAAAATAATCCAACGAGAATCTTTTCTATTTATACGTCATTAGACATGCCACATCATTTATATGTCATAAGACTCGAACACGCTAAATTTACACCACACTATTGATACTTTCAGGACACGAAATATGCCACATTATCCATTGCAATAGCATGACGATTTTGAATGATGAGGAAGAATTATGAGTTAGCATGAAAGATGAAAACCACTTAAGCTGAAAATAACTTGTTAATAAGCGTTTAAAAACAAAAAATTTATTGTCAATTTTACGAGTGTAGTCAAATTAGAAAATTTTGATGGATTTGAAAATACCGTGTTAAATAACATAAATTTTTTCTATGAATTTGAGAGTAGTTGATATAAATAATAAGGCTAAACTATCAATTTGCTCCTTGAACTATTACTTAATTTTCAATTTGCTCCATGAACTTTTTAATTGAAAAATTAAGGACTTAAACCTTTTTTTTTTTTTTGCCGATTTCCCCCTACCGTTAGTTTTAATAGATTTCATCCAAATTAACGTTAACTTTTATCACGTGCACACCACATGACTCTCTTTTGTGGACAAAAGCGTTACTTCGCAAGAGCTTCAGACACAAAAATTATAGAATCAGACATATTTGCATAGGTTTATATTTTAGAAATCTAAATTTTTCAATTATTTAAAAAAATGAAGTGACTGAACTACCCTCGCATTTTGTGCATATGCTTTCATTTAACAGAAATTTAGATGGAATGAATGAAAAATTAACAACATGAGTAAATCAACCAAAAATAGTTTAAGTTCTTAATTTTTCAATTAAAAAATTCAAAGGAGAAATCAAAAGTTATGTGATAGTTGAGGTAAAAATCAACAGTTTACTGTAAATACTAATGGCATCAAGAATCCCACACTCCCACTCCCCTGTGATTTCTTTTCACGCCGAACCATTAAAGATGAACAGTCCATAAACTCAGACAGAATAGGAACAATCCCACGCCGCCGCACCACACAGAGGAAAACAATCCCACGTCTCCGAAATTGGCACCTACCTCCGCCGCCAAACCCGCTCAAACAAGGACTTCACCGTCAAATCGATCCGGGTAAGCAATTTTTCGTGTTTTTTCGTGTTCGAATCATTTATATAATTCTATGATTGAATTGGAATTGTGGGTTCTTGTTAAATGTGGATTTTTGTGTTTGAATATGTTCATTCCGTCGGGGTAGTGATTTCAGTTGACCATTGGGGTTTTGCTGGTTTTGTAATATGTATATGCTTGGATTCGCAGAAAGCTGCTAGTGCTTTGTCGCCTTTGGAACAGGCTTCTTCTGCTGAAGCTTCCAAGAAGTTGGAGCCCCTGAGAGAAGCTATTGTGCATAGGGGTAAGGATGTCAGGCTTCTAATGGCCATCTATGTCACTCAACTGTTTCAGGCTTCTAGGCCTCTTGTGCATAGCTTCACCATGTTTGATTTCACTGTGTACTCGATGGTATGCGAATTGCACTTTGTTTTTTATGGTTCCGCGTATTATTTGGATGCTATCTGAACTCTGGGGATTAATACTAATTTGTTATGAACAAATGGTTATTTTCTTATCATTTGATAAGAATAGGAGGAAAATAAGCTTACTTGTTGATTTATGTTCTGTGACATACGAAATCAAATCATTCATCAAACTTATGCTATAGATTATTTGATCTTTTTTCCTTTTTCGGTTATAATCCAATACGGAAGAACAAACCTTGAGCTTGGAGATGAATCATGTTTCTTTTTGTTTTATAGTTGATTCAAATGCTCATTTTGATTTTTTCCTCAAACTTTCGGTAACAGGAATTTTCTGATGACAGTTACCAGCTACTTCCTGCATTGTCTACTAGTTGGAACTTGGTTTGGCCGACGGGATTTTGAACATCGACCAAAATAATACACACTTCAGAAGGCCTCTGCGTAGTTCCAGATTGGTTGTAATTTTTCTATTTCATACACCCCATTGATGTCTCTCAGAAAGCCTCCGCTTCCCCGTCTCCTTCTCAACAATGTCTCCTGCATGAGGAATGCCCAACAAATCTTGAGACACGTAAATGCCTCGGTCCACGATGGTGGAGCACTTGTGCTGATGGGCACTAATGGCTCGGGCAAGACTACCTTCCTGCGTATGTTAGCAGGATTTTCTCGTCCTTCTGCTGGTCAGGTCCTGTGGAACGGGCACGACATCACTGACTCAGGAGTTTTCCACCAGTACAAGCTTCAACTTAACTGGCTCTCCCTTAAAGATGCGGTGAAAGAGAAGTTCACAGTTCTCGACAATGTTCAGTGGTTTGAAGTTCTCGAAGGCAAGGAAGGGAATTCACTGCCGGCTTTGGAGCTAATGGGGCTCGGGAGACTGGCAAAGGAGAAAGCGAGAATGCTGTCAATGGGACAGCGGAAAAGGCTGCAGCTTGCGAGGCTGCTGGCAATTGACAGGCCAATTTGGTTGCTTGACGAGCCTTCGGTTGCACTGGACACTGAGGGGACAAGGCTGCTCGAGTATATCATCGGAGAGCATAGGAAGAAAGGCGGGATAGTGATTGTGGCAACACATCTGCCAATTGACATTGAAGATGCGACGTATTTGAGGCTGCCTCCAAGGTTCCCGAGGAGGATGACTCTAGTAGATATGCTTGATCGTTCGGATTTTTGAATTTATACCTATTCTTTGTCATTGCAAAGAATGCAAGTATGCAACTATTTTTACATGTTTCTTTTGTAACGCATGCTGTGAATGTTTGATTTGCTTAACAACGTTTCCAAACGGTATTTTATATGTCATAATACAAATAAAGGAAATGATAAATTTTTCGTACCTCTCCGCATATATTATGACACGTAAAGTAACTGCTTGAATACTGGAAACTTGAAAAAATTTCTCAAAAATTGAGGATATTACATGAATTGAAAGTTTAGGGGGATTGAATTCAAATTGAGAAGCCCAAAGAGAGTGAATCAAGTTCCAAAATTCAGAAATGGTATGTTCATTGACATTCCCGTAATGCCCCCCATCTTTTCAGGATATAACCATCGAGTCCTATAATGTTCCCATGATGAGATTGACCAAAATATCCTCACTCAGTACGGAGCAAATACAAACAAGGGGCTGTGGCGCGGCGTCTAGGGTTTTAAGGTTCATTAGTTTTACGAATGAGGCTCTGTTGTCAGAGAGGCCGTCCCGGGTGTCCGTGAGGGTTGTTGCCGCCCTCTCTGAATGGCGGCGGAGCCGATGATGTCACACACCCGACCTTATGTTACTCGCACCCAAACAACCCTCTCTGCTCATCCTGCTCCTCCTCCTTCATCCTCAACATAATCATTATCATCAAATTCCCTGCTTCTGATTCTGTCTGTCTCTCTCTCTCTCTCTCTCTCTCTCTCTCTCAAAAACGAGGCGGTGATGATACTTTTAGCGACTGTAAAACCAGGCGGCGGGAATGCGGAACAGGGTGCCTTGGCGGGGCGACTCGGTTTCTCTGGCGGTGGAAATGACTATATGTACTTTCATCCCGCCGGCAGCTGCCGTATTCGCAGCCATGGAACGCTGCATTTCCTTCCCTCTTTTTGTCTGAACAAAGGCGAATCTGAGCCTCGTCCTCTCCCTTTCTTAAATTTCATAACTTTTTTTTGCTGCTGAATTTCCATATTTTGTTGAATAATAAATATTTCGTTTTGAAATATCCGAACTTTCGGTTTTTTGCAGGTGAAGTTCGAATCTCCTACTTTTGAAAATTTGCATTATAAAAAAAACAGTCATCGAACTTCTAAAGGATAAAAATTTTGACATTTACTTGATATGAACTTGCGAATGGTACGAACGTACCTTCAAATTAAATACGATGATCTTGATAAGTGATAAAATAGTGAGACGAAGTCTGATTAGTATCGATCGAACCGGTTCAATAGGTTAGTCTTTTTTGAGATTTTTCAATTGAAACCGGTTCGATTTGATTGATGATTAGTGGGAAAGAATATGAATGAAAATGTAGCATGAACAAAATAAAATGAAGAATCATATCAATTAACTAGTCAGAAATTAATCCGTCTAATTTTCCAATATTTACTATACTATATGAGATGATGTTATGCATGTTACAGACTCGCGTAATATTAGATTAGTTCTTAGAAGCACTTAATTTGCCAGCAAAAGCACCATCATAGCAACTAGAGAAGCACACCAACTGGCCCCGTTTGCAAAAGCACTCGACTTTTCATCAGAAGTTGAAGGAGCAGGTGGAGATTTGGAGCCTGAATCAGATTTCCCCGAGTTGGAGCTGGGGCCGGAGCTGGAGTCCTTCTTCTTCACCACTTCCGGGAGTGGTGGGTCAACCACCTGCGAGGTTTGAAGCGCCGGGCTTGGGGCTTGTGCCGGAGACATTGCCTCAGGGGCGATCAGGCTCGACAGTGAACCTGGTTCAACGGGCAAGATTGCGTATGGGATGTTGGCCTTGGGGTCCATATCAGTGCATGGGGATCCTGCAAATTCATGTCGAATGTCGTCAGCGGTTTTTGTAATTCGGTTTGTTTAGCGTACATTAACGTATATGGAGTTCGACCACCTTCAAACGACTCATCAGATACGTCATGATGTTATTTTCAGGTGTTCGTCTTCAATAGGTTAAAATTCTGCTGTACAAATAGTAGTCTACTTACTCATATACTTGCTGGCAGTTCCGGGGAAATCGGTGACAATGCCATCAACTTGGAACCCTTGAGCGTATGAAGCAATCTCCGTGATGGGGTCCGAGAAATAATCAAACATGAGACTGACAAACTCGTTCTTCATCCAGTGGGCATACACGGAGATGTTTGCAGCCTTCATTTCGTCGACAACGTTGGTCGTGCCAGAAATGAAGTAATCAGTGATCTTGACGATCGAATCCTTGGTGACGATTACTGCATCTGCGTACTTCTTGATCTCCGCTACAGATTCCTTGGGCGCATCGCTTATCTTCTCCTTGATGTTGAACACTCGTTTGTAGTTATTCGCGTCTTTAAACTTGGACAGCACGGAAGTGTCATCCGATTTGATCAACACTTGCTGAGTGGATTGCTTGTCGAGTGTGGCATTGCTCAAGGCAGAGGATACAGCTCCCACAATGTCTAGGCCTGCCTTTGATGCTAGGTATGCAGCATTCTGAGAATATATTCGCGTGTTGTCAGTTTTCGCGCACAAACAAATAAATGTAAGAAGAGTTTGAGAATCAAAAGTTGAAAACAAATGACATTTCTGGAATTAAACTTTACCTCAATGTTGATCAAAATTCCAGTAACTGCATTTTTCTTTGCAAACTCCAGGAATTCTTTGAGGGTCACCAGTTTGCCCGCATCCTTGTTAGCGGGGTTTCTGACAATTTTTTCCTTGGTTCCGTAGGGGCTCTGTATTTGTGCTGAAATAAATAGCCAAGTTGAAAACCCATTAGTACACTAGAGTGTCTCGTCACTAAATTCGTTTGGATTCTTCAACGTTATTTGACCGTTAAATTTAAGTAATGTAGGACACACTAGAGGTTTCGTAATTTCACAAGCTTACTATTTACTAGCAAGTAGCAATAACAAATTTTGGATTATAGAGGCTTACGTTTCAAGCTCTGAATATCGCTCCATGAGAGCTGGAAGGAGAAGACTCCAGCTTCTGCTTGAAGTTCGGGGATAGTATCACTATTGGTCATGAATTGGCTCAACGCGTTAGTGCCCGAGTTGAGGTCTATAGTGTCTAAGCAGAAAGCTACCCCATCGCTTGACATTTGAACCGAGCAATCAATTATGTCAGCCTCATCATCTACGGCCTGCTTGTAAGCAAGGTCTGTGCTAACCGGGATAGATTCCACTAGCTCCATTTCTAGTTATGATCAAAGGAAATCCTGCAAAATTCGAAAATTTTCTCAGGAACTTCCCTAACGACGACATCACACGATTCACAATACAACGCCATTTATGAATCTAATTAATTACCTTTCTTAGGCTTGGTACCGTTCTTGTCCTGCGTAAAGCACGCTGCAGCACGAAAGCATTGGCAGGTGAACTAGGTTATAAAATAAAACATTTGCTTGTAAAATTATGAATGTCTGATATGATATTCACCGATGGCTTCTGATGCTGTAGGAGGGAAATCTGTAAGCACACCATCAACTGAAAACTGAGAGTTATCGACAAACTGCAGGTACTCAGATGTGGGATCGAAACTGTAGTTATAAGGGAGGATAACGTCATTGGCAAAACCGGAAGCATGCACTTCTAGCCCTTCTTTGTGAGCATCATTCACAAGCGTCGTGGCAGCCTCCAAGTAATTGTTTTTGTTTACAGGCCATATGTATTCTTTCGGAACAAGGATTCCAGCTGCAACTGACTTGATCATTCCGAGCTGCTTCACCAGTGCGCTGTACTTTTCCTTGGTTGTCGGTTCTGTTTCTTCGGGGTAAAGGAACTGGAAGATGAGCTTTGTCTTCATTTTGTTCACCTTTCCACCAATGGCTTTCAAGAATCCGATCTCCGGAGATGAGATGTAAGGTATGGGTGCGAATTTGACTGCCTTCTCGACAAATGATACCATGCTGATCTTGTGCTGGTTGTAAAATGAATCGTACTGCACGCAACACAGAGAAAACATAACATCGAAAAAAATGATTAGTGACTAGCGGAGAACAAACATCAGCTCTACAAATTAACTCAATGACAGTACAGATCAGAGAGATACCGGCACGTTCAACCAGAATTTATTGGGTTTAGTTTCCAAAACATCTTCGACAGTAGCGATTGGCATCATACCATCGAACTGACTTGGTCGCGAATAAATGTTTTGAGTCACTGCAAAAGGAATTGAAGACATAAATGTGAATGTGACCGTTTAATTGCAAGCGTTCATGATTAGGTTAATTTGAGACTTACGCGACACGTTGGCTAACAACTCATCCGCTGTGAAATCCAACGCAAACCAGCCGCGAATATCCTTCCCGTTCACATTGTAAGTTTTCTGGCCGTTAGGGAAGAACGTTGATATAGTTGTTGTATTATCAAGCAGAATGTTCGACAGGCATATTCCGACATTGTCTTTCGATAACTGAAGATTGCAGAAGAAGGCGGAGCCTGGCAAGCTAAGAGTCTTTGCCAAATCGTTCGCGGGGATGCTAGCTTCCGGGAACAGCCCTGAAAGCCCACCACGCGCTATAACAAGAGGCTGTTGACCTGCAAATGTTTAGAAACAATTTTGTTCTGTTAACATAAATTATGAACTTAGTTTCTTGAGATGGTGAATTTCTTAGGTCCAAATCGTAGCCGAAAAGTAGTTATTACCGGTTAAAGTCTGCCATTTTTTCGAGGGAGGCCCCTGAGCCTGAGGTGCTGCTTTCTGTCCTGCATTTGAAGGTTTTGCTGCTAAAGACGACTGGATCAACAAGGAAATGAAAAGCAAACACCTTATCATCTCTTCTGCCCTGTCGCGATTTAAACAAATGTATCGATAACATGTTAGCACTTTTTCACATCTGAATTAACGTGTTACAAAACGTTCACATTTTTCATAATTAAATTTCATTTAATTGGACAAAAACACTATTTGGTTCACAATTATCTACAAAATCATAGATCTACATCTAAAAAACATGAAAACCCGTCTTTTGACTTAATATCATCAAACAAACGATCAATCCAAACATTAACAACATCAGAAAAAAAAAAAAATAGAACTTACTTGTGGAGAGCAAACACTCCCCGTAAAGTTTGTGCAAAACTATCAAGGGGATGCGGAGGAAAAGATAAAAGAAGGTGGTGGTAGGAGGGGGGGAAGAAAATTGAGAGATGATGAACAAAATTTACCCCCAAATTGCAGCTACAAAAAATTTACCTCCAAATAGGTGTTTAGGTTTCTTTTTTTACCATTTACTTTGCACACATTTGTCGCATTAATACCAGTCAAGGAATCACTATTTAAAGGCGTAGCCGGTTTTATTAGTTTTCTGGTCAAATCTGTGTATTTACTATTTTTGTGGAGTGATTAAGTTGGATCGCTGTAATTTTTGTTTCGAGGAAAACAAGGTAGAAATATGTACTCTCACTTTAAAACCTCAACCGTTTTTTGAAACTCCTGCGTTTTGCTAAATTTAGGCGTTTCTCGAGCGATTTTCAAATAACACCCTCCTTTTATAATTATCTCATCACGTAGCAACACGTAATTGATTAACTGATATAAAATTAAATATATTATATTGTCTAGTCGTACATAATTTTGCTACTCGTAACACCAAGTATAACTATTATATTAACCAGTGAGAACCATGAAATGAAAGCTTGCATTGATATCTTCTAAGTTCGAACCGCTTACATAAAAATTATAGAGAGTTTACAAACAAACTCTAAACTCTTCTAACAAACTCCTCTAATAGCTTTCATCAGCTAAATCAATCTCTGCCATTCAGTTATAAATAAATCTCCACTGAACATCTGTTAATTCATTAGTCAAAACCAACCTCCACCATGGCAGCTTGGACAAATTTATAACTTATGCTAAGTACAACTATGCACATGAAAGAATCACATTATTTAAACAGAACTATAAAGTTGCATGGATTTCCTATTTCACTTTAAAATAGACGGAAAGCTACAAACGTGTGTTATATTAATTAGCGGTCAATATCACTTTTTATATATGTATTTTTCAATCTCGAAAGCTTTTTTTGCACCCTACTTCAAAAGAAAATCACAAACGGGCACTATTATTTTGAACTCTTATTACATGAAGCCGTTATTACTACTATCAAGATATAACATTCAAGCTTAAGTAACTATAAACGTTGTCAAATACTTGTAGCTCAAGTAGTAATAATATTTATCCACACTTTCAATATCGTGTGTTTAAACTTCCCGTTAAGGCTTTGAATGTGAAATATGACGTCTACAAGTGTAGGAAGAGGTTTAACATCTTATGAAAAAAATTGATAAAGATCATGTTTGAATGAAACTATTATTAGCATTCTAAATTTTTTATTCTACACTCATTGCATGTGTATTTTTTTTTTAATTATAGAAAGTTTGGAGTGCAAAATAAGATTTTAAAAGTGCAAATAAACGCATTCATATTGATGCAAACATAGTACCTAACACACTTTAAAAGTTCACATTTTTTTTCAAAAAGGGGTCAATTGGTGGCTTTGCTATGACAATTTACATTTTTTAGAACGGAAAAGATTCACAAAAGGATTTCAGCTTCTTCTAGTCATCATTGTGTGATTCAATATTATAAAAAAATCGAATCTAAAACTTATCGTGTGAAAACGAGCCTTAAGTTCATCCCAACTAACTAGGCCACTCGTGATGGTTCGTGTTCACATTTGTAAAACAGAAGGAATTATATTCTGTATACCCTGGAAAAAGAATAGGAAATTTTTATTCAATTTTATAACGGAGGGAACAAAACAAGCGCACAATATCACAGAATCTCTAACCGCACTAGATCCCCCACCCCTCCCCCCAACTGACAGAACACAATTCTTGCTTTTCGTTCCGCTTTCTCCACTTCTCCACGATCTCAATCTCCAAATCCCCAAATCTCCAAATCCCTAAATCCGTCACCGTACAAACCCTGTGATTATATCTTGCGGACAGAAAAATCAGAGGAGGAAGATGAAGATCACGGCCTTGCTGGTCCTCAAGTACAATTCAGACGAATCCGACCCGATCATCTTGGCCAACGCCTCCGATACCAGCCACTTTGGCTACTTCCAGAGGTCCAGCGTCAAGGAGTTCATCGTCTTCGTCGGTCGCACTGTCGCCAGACGCACCCCGCCCGGCCAACGCCAGTCCGTCAAGCACGAAGGTCCGTTCTTAATCCGTGTCCCCCCTCCCAATTTTCAGGGATCTCCTTTTACAGTTGGTTTTGTTTTCAGCTTCAATTGTTCTTTGGGATATATACGAATTTATGCCAATTTGCAATTTGATGAAATCTATGATCATTCCATTTCGTGTTACAAATTAATTGCTGATTAATCTGATTTGAATTGGGCTGTCGGTGAAACTGATTTTTTTCTTTCCTGGACTTGTGGTTCTCGAATTTGTTTTGAACTGCATAGTTTTTCTTTTTCTGCAAGTTTTTGTAGCAATTATAGAATTTTGAGGGTTCAATTTTGAATTTCGATGCCCCAATTTCGTTCGGCATCAGTTGCACGTCTAGGTTTTGTAGCAGTATCTGATAATTTTCGATATGTTGACGCCCGTTTGATTTTTTTTGTTAATTGTTATCTTCTTTAGGAGTTCTAGCATGCTCTATGAAACCTGAATTTCTTTGTTTTGTTTCTTCACAGAGTATAAAGTGCATTGTTACAACAGCAATGGTCTCTGTGCGCTGGGTTTTATGGATGATCACTATCCTGTCCGAAGTGCATTTTCTCTGCTCAACCAGGTAACACAAGGTTCATTTAATCAGTTGCATTATACATTCAATTATCCCTTCATTTTCCATGCCTTGCTTCCCATGTTACTAGTGGCTTATAGTGGTTGAAATTACTAAAGAGCTAGCATTGGCTGACATTGGTGAAGTATCTGGTAATCTCAACCGTGTCTCCCATTATCTTCACCACATCACCACTAACCAATTATTGAAGTTAGTGGGTTTCGTGTTATCAAATATTGGCGGTGGATAGTTTTGTCAGCTTAAGTGGGTCCCCTAGTGAGAATTTTAGATCCAATTGTCTTTGAATTGTTTGTGTCTGAGGTTTATGCATACTTGGTTTCATGGACTGCTACACATATGGTGCTCCATGCTTATCTTATCAAATAACTGATTGATGTTAGTGATTTACAGGTGCTAGATGAATATCAGAAGGCTTTTGGTGATTCTTGGAGGACTGCACAACAGGATGGCACACAACCGTGGCCCTATTTGAGTGAGGCTCTGACGAAATTCCAGGTGTGCCTGTTAAGCTGTTTTCTACTTCATTTGTTTAGCTGTACTCAGAAGGCAACAGATGGGTTAATCAAGACTATGCTTTCTGTTCTTACTAAACAGATAAGTTTTATAGAGTTAAAACTGAAGCTACTTTCTTCTTTCTTCCTTTATTTTCAAATTCCAGGATCCTGCAGAGGCTGATAAGTTGTTGAAAATTCAGAGGGAATTGGATGAAACAAAAATTATCCTTGTGAGTATAATGCATTACATCAGTTACATTTTGATCAACATATTGGTGTCACTCGTTTTTGTGTGATACTTTTATTAGTAGATCCTTTAATCTGTTTGTTGGACCTCCAATTTGACATGTTTACCTTTGTTTAGTAATGGCCAAAATAAATCTTCAACTTAATATCGTATATGCTGAATTCTTTGCCTGAAATAAGTTGTAGATATCTTAAGTGATATAAGTTTATCTTTATCTGCCATATCCCAGTTCATATTTGCCACCTTCTACATTTCTCACCCGGCTTATTTGTTATTTCTTTCCTTGGTACAGCATAAGACTATTGATAGTGTGCTTGCACGAGGTGAGAGACTGGACAGTTTAGTCGAGAAGAGTTCGGATCTTAGTGCAGCATCGCAGGTACATTCATAAAATTCTTGTGATACAATGACACATTTGCCGCTGCACGCACTCATATAGCACATATCAGCCACTGTCATCTTAATTACATATAATCTTAAGTGTGATGTCATGGGCTGCATTTGAACATAAAGGCCTAAGTTTATCTTAGTGTGATAATAATTTTTTTTTTATTTTTACAATCCGTCTTACATATCATCACTTAATTACACTGTACCAAAGATATTAGGGTTTGTATTTCAAGTTGTGCGTAGGGATTTCTGAGAACTTTTTTCTCCCTTGTTTTAAATACTCTATATCTGCCCGTTGGAGTTTGGAATGTTCAACGGGCCAATCAGTGTTTAATTACCCGAAGTTTGTTTCTAACGTGAGTACATGACGACAGTGTTTGTTTGAAACAGATGTTCTACAAGCAGGCGAAACAGGCCAATTCGTGTTGTACCATATTGTAAGCTTGTAAGCCGAGCAGCAATCCTGAAATGACAATCCCATGTTATGGTGTTGAAGTTGATGGATGAGAAATTGATGATTGTAATATGTTGATATCATTTGGCAGAAGTGTGTGAAGTTCCCTCATTTTCGTATGTATCAAAGAAAGGGAAACCAGATATTCATAGAGGTCTCCTGCTACTATAGTATACTACGGTTTCTGTTTCGTAACTTGAGATTTTACGTCTCCGCCTGCATCTACGTGATATTCTCAGTATGATTTTATGAAATCTATGTCATTGCTTATTCTTTCGAAGCTGGGTCGTCATGATTGTTAATGCTACCGTTTGGTTCTATATGCCAAAATTAAATGTTTTTTACGCAAAATGAGATTGCTTAACTTTTAAAAATATAAAAATCATTTAACTGAAGATTCAATGATTACAATTATTATAATTTTTAAATGAATTTTCTGTTTGTAACCGTTGGATTAAATTTCAATGATTCGAATAATTTGATCCCTAAACTTAGAATGTTAGAATACGAAAAGGATCCAGATTCGTACTCATATATGTACATACGTCCAATGACATATCACGTAATAAGAAAGACCGAATTGTTGCACCTGTCATAAGAAAGTTCGTCGACATCCGTTGTCACGTGGAAGTTTATCCGTTGAACCCTGGCGATATTGATGCTGACATTGTCCAGACGGATAAAACGTTGATAAGAACGGAAGGACATAGTACCCCACACACATCCATTCAACCGTGGTCCTTGGCTTTTTTTTAATAAAACTAATAAAAATATCTTAAAAACTTTTAAATTTTAATCAAAATATAAAAAAAATATTATAAATAAATAATACAAAGAATAACCTTTTAAAGTAAAAATATCGTTAAAAATAAATAGTACTGAAAATTTTATTAAAACTCCCTTCTCTTTTTACTAACTAATCATCTGAAATTATCATCCAGAAAATTCGATCGAAATCCAGACACAAAATGCATAAGAAAACCAACTTGATGGAAACTTTAGAACGATCAACGTTGTTACAGTACAGCAACTAACATAATCACAAAACGACGTCACTGCTAGGGTAGAGTCTGTCTACAAGTTGGGAAGTGGGGGTTCTCAGTGTTTCTTATTACAAATACATACATAGTCACTCAGACCCCCAAATATGATTATCTCTATCTTCCGAAGATGGATTTGAACCACCAGATGCCCTTGGTGTCTTTGGGGCCTTCTTCTCCCTCCGGCGGACTCTCGCTCTGCCGCGTCTTGTGGAGTTTGCTCACATCGTAGCCCTCGTCCGCCGCCCTTTGGACCAGCTGGTTGTATATTTCTTCATCCAGATGAGGCTGCCTGCTTAATATCTGCATCCAATTCCCCAACCCCCACCAACAACAACAATCAAATTTTTATACAAGGATTTAGACAAAGCACAAGGGACTTTTGTTTCGATTAAAAGATTGTAATCGGTTCTATCTGTGCATATTTTTTCAACCGACAATACTAATTCTCACTAAAAATCAACAAAATCAAAAATAAATTAATAAAATATACTAAATTTTAATGGTAAATTAAACGTAAATATGAAATCTATACGTACCCAAAGGGAATTCCTGCTAGGCTGGCCAATCAAAGCGTACTGATAATCCTCATCAATGAACAAAACCCAGTAATCCCCCGTGACAGGAATGATCGGCAGAAATGGCGGAACATAAAACTTCACCTTCAGTTTCGCCTCGTCGCTATTCGGGTCCGCCTTGTAGGCGGTGCCCTCGATGAATCCCCTCTTCCCGTCTGTCCAAGTCTCGTTCAGCACATTCACGGTGCCGTCGTCTTTCAGAGTGTAGGTGGCACGCGTGTTCTCGCCGTTCTTGGGCTGAAACCGCGACGGAACGGAGGCAATCTCGTACCACCGCCCCATGTAGCGCTGCAGATCCAGGCCCTTCACGACTTCCATCGCCTTCTTCGTCGCCATTGTTGCAGATGAAGTGTTTGTGTTCTGGTTTCTGAGAGAGCGAGTGACGAATTGATGCGGGAATTTGTGAAGTTTCAATTTTGGGTGGGGGGTTTTGTAACCTTAGTGAGGATAAGTTGTGCGGAGGTGGTGGAGTTTAAATGGCTTTTTCGTTGCCGCAAAAGGTATATTGGAAGGAAGGGGACGTGGTGCTTTATGAACCGTACACGTGGAGTGTGAACGGTTGAACTTGCCACACACATACCGGCAAGGTTCCAGAATCCAGGTTTTTGTACAGTTGCATTTGTTTCTGGAAGTATTCAGAATTCGAGAAGTTACCCTCGCGTAATGTCGATCACCCATTTTGCTATAAGAGAAAGTGAAAATATACGAAAAAAGGTTTTCTCCGGTTATCAAATTCTTAAATTTGGATTTTTGAAATTTGATTAACGATTAAAGTTATTATAACTTTTCAAATAACTTCTTATTTGTAGTTGTCTGATTAAATTTCAAGAATTCGAATTTATGAATTATTTGGATTTGGTGGAAGGGAGAATCCCCTTTCGAAAGACATAAATGTTTGTTATTTTTGTTGTTTTTTCTTTAATTTTAAAAGAGAAATGAATTCTTTACATTTTTCAAAAATGATCAATTTTTTTATTATTGTCTACTTTTAATTACATTGATATGTCATTTTGAACTTTACTATCAGTATGATTAATTTTATACAATGAAGAGGATCAAATTTTGGAGATTTTTTTTATTGTGTCTCAAACACAGGTGGTATGCTACTTTCCGGAGCTATTTGATCAAATACTTGGGGGTTCTTTTTTACAACTATTTCTCAGTCGCCGACATGACATTCATTGATTCAATAGATTTAGATACTTAAGCAGAAAAGGTTTTAAATTAACCTACTTTGATTAAGTTACCGTGTTATTATGTAAGTAGAGGAAAGTCTTTATTTTATTTTATTTTTATCTGCAAAATATCTCCAAACCTTATGTTTTATCTGCAAAATATCTCCAAACCTTATGGCGTAAGAAAAGCAACTTGTGATGGTAGTTTGAAACTCGAGCAAACCTGACGAGAGGCATTCGGCATGTCACTCTCATTGCCTTGTGAAATCAAGGGGTCGACCAAAGGTTTAAATATGTCAAATTTCGATCCCACACGCTTCTTAAAGTACGATAAGATCAATCCCACATATGGATGAGTCCAACTGATAAGATCAATCCAATCGCACAAGTATGATATTTCTTTTAACTTATGACACCATAAACATAGAAATTAACAAGCTAAATTAGAAAGAAAATCAATGTTTTTAATTGATTGTTTATTTAAAAACACAAACATATAGTTTTTCAGTTTATTTTTTTATGTAAGTAGTTATAGTATTTGTTCCTAGACGACTTAAATTGTGTAAGTGATGACTTCTAATTGAGTTAAGTTAGTTGGTCAATTAATTACACTAACAATCTTAGAGGTTTTTCAAATTTTCACAAAACTCCCTCGAGTTTTCATTAAAGGGGTAAATTCTTAAACGGTTAAACCAGGGGAAGCTTTTGTGAAAAATCGAAAAATCTAAGGAGTTGTTAATTTAATTAACTGTTATAATATATGTCCTCGCTTATATGCATTCAAATTTAAATGTCATGGCCAATTTTGATTCCTCCATAACCAATACTGCTACAAGAAAGATACCGCTATAAGAAAAATGTTCGAATGCCCATCCTCACAGATTAAAAATAATTTAAATTATCCCATTGTCAAAGAAAAGAAAATCAATGTTGGGCTTTATGGCCCACTTTTTCTCTGGATTTGCTGTTATTTCAACGGGCCTCTTTAAGCCCATATTTATTGGACTGAAATATCTTCTTTAAAAAAGCCCGCCAAAACAACGGTCCGCCACTTCGGACATAAACTTGCAAGCCCAATTTAGAATGAACCGGCACATAATATGAATTAGGTGAACAAACCGGCTGGATTTGCGGCTACAATTTAATCACTAATATCTAACGGTAAAAATTTAAACTTATACTGTGCTTCGATACATACTAGAAAAACCGGTCTGCCAGCTATACCACTAGATCTTTTTAATAAGAGAGTTTTAACGAAAAGATATTGTTCACTTTAACGAAAAATCATGTTTTTATATTAAAAAGTTAATCCTGTACTATTCACTTTATCATTTATTTTGTCCTTATCATTCAAATTCAAAAATTTCAAACTATTTTCATTAGTTTTTCTTTTTAATAATTGTTGTTGTTTTTTTTTTTTTAACAAATGATAGTATCAATATTAAAGAGAAGTAAATAAGTTTAGTCTCATAATGAACTAGTATTAATAAGTTTAAATTCTTTTTTAACGAGAACCGAACCTAAACCACTTACGTAAAGAAAAATAACATTAAATTGTAGTATTAAGTAACAGTTAATAATTGCTTTTGAGTTGGGGAAAAAAACACTCAGAGGAGAGAGCTTGTTTACCAAAACCACTAGAAAATATCTGGCTGTGTCTCGTAAATGTGGATGTGGAGTGGAGCCACTGAGACTTGTTCCAAGGCGGTTTAACTCTCCTAAATCCTAATCAAGATTCAAAACAACCAGTCTCTCATAGATTCATAATTAGATCTCACATTCCCCAAATTACACTTCCCACACTAATACTCCCATACCTAGAGAGAAACAAGACAAGAGAGAGAGAGATGTCAAGGCGATCTGCTACCTGTTTGAGGTGCTGCTTGGTAGTGTTTGCGGTGGTTTCTGCATTGGGGGTTTGTGGGCCGGCCTTGTATTGGCGGTTCAAGAAGACCGTAAAGTTGGGGGGTTCTAAAGTCTCTTGCCCTTCTTGCAACTGCGATTGCCCCCCTCCTTTGTCCCTCCTCAAGATTGCTCCTGGTACCTCTCTCTCTCTCTCTCTCTCTCTCTCTCTCTCTCAAATATGGGTTTCTTTTTGTTGTTTCGAATCTGATTTGTGATATTTCGTTTCTAGGTTCTTTTGAAAGTATGGATTTTTATTGATTGGAGTTAAATTAAAGCGTACCCCTGTCATCAGTTTGGTGTTTTGATCTTTGTTTTTGCTACTTTTGGATTTGTAGCTGCTGTTGTATTGGAGTATGTGTGAGAAATGGAACCCAATTCAGATTTAGATTACTTTTCCTCTTATTCCATCTGATTTTAAGCTGAACAGAAAGAAATTGGAACTTCCTTTTTGATAGATTTGTGGCATTGAATCCAGTTCATGGTTTTGCATTATAATTTGTTTCGAGTAAAGTTGAGATCTTTGCTGCTCTAGTTTTTACTTGCTCAATATACATTGTGCAAAGTATGGATCTTGAAATGTAAATACGGCACCTACCTGAATATCATATATGAACTGTTTGAAGTACCGAGGGCTGTATGTAGTCTTTCTGATCTGAGTTCAGGCAACATAATCTTCCTCTAGTTCTGCACTCAGACTTAGTTAATCGTGTTGTGATTTTAATCCATGGGTGCCTGGAAATCTCGTTTGATCATACAATTACTGTCGAATATTCTTAGTGTGCTCAGTTACTCGAACTGGGTCGAACTAGGGGAAGAGGGGGAGTGGTTGTTTGAACTTATCTTGTCGTAAGTGGTTGTTCACATATTTGATGACTTGTTTTACTACGTGTAGAAGAACTAGAGCTACAACGATATAGGGCTTTAAATTTAGATTGAGCACTTGTCATGGCATTTTTATGGAGTCTTCCGTATCTTCTTTCAAACTATTGTATTCTGGGAGTTCATTTCCATCTGTATAATAACGTGCCCCTTTTTTGTTGTTCGTTATTCCGTTGCAGGATTGGCCAATCTCTCAGTCACAGGTTAGAATGCCTCCTACCATTCAACGTCTTGGTTTATTCCTTTTTCTGCATTCCAGGTATTTCTTGTGATCTATATATACAAGTACATGAATGTGATGAATATTATGTTGATCAGATTGCGGAAGTAATGACCCAGATCTGAAGCGGGAGATGGAGAAGCAATTTGTGGACCTTTTAACAGAGGAATTGAAGCTGCAAGAGGCTGTTGCTGCAGAGCACACCCGACACATGAACATCACATTTGCTGAAGCAAAGAGGGTGGCTTCTCAGTACCAGAACGAAGCAGAAAAGTGCAATGCTGCAACAGAAACTTGCGAGGAGGCGAGAGAGCGTGCTGAGGCATTGCTCATCAAGGAGAGGAAGGTGACTTTCCTGTGGGAAAGACGAGCCCGTCAAATGGGTTGGGCAGGAGAATAGCTTGTAAAATTTGATTGCAAGTTCCCGTTCGGCTCAACTAGCGATTCTTCTTTCTCCGCAGTATTTATACACACAACCAAGCAAATTGCATCGGTTGTTTCTTCCCCTGTTACAGCATAATTGCTATCTTTCTCTTCCACTGGTTGTACTTGATTGCCCACAAACGTCATATAGTTACCAGATTTTACCGTATGAACAAAATGTTATGATCCCTAGCCAACTTTACTTCTACGAAGTAATTCATACCACAGTAAAATTATGATTAATATATATTATACAGGGAGCAGATCCGTAGGCACTATATTTTTACACAACTTTTGACATAAGTTTTTGTGAATTCATTTTGTAATGTATTTTAACTATCTGAACGGTCTATTTTTCAGATATTTCCTCAAAGATCAACTGTATTTCATATTGTGTATTGCTTGCATATGTTAGCATCACGTGTTATGATTAGTAAAGACACCCAAGTCATGAATTAATCGTTGATCGAACAAAGTCTTCGAGGTGAAGAAAATTTGGACTGAAAAATGTATTCCAAGAACATGGGTTTCACAGCCATTACCAAGCCACGTTATTAAAGGCATGTGAGGGTTTCCAAAAGGCACATTCCTGCAAAACCCTAACCAATTTTCCTTAAGAGTATTGAGAAAAATTTCGGCCGAGCTTACCTGACTATAAGAAATACGCGAGTAGAAACACTTCGAGAATGTCACCCTTAAGGCATTTTTCAAGTTCTCACAAAAATATAAGATCCCGTTATATTCTGATCTCACACAAATTCTATATGATATGAGAGTTGCCTCGTTAGACTTGTTTTTCTGACCTAATTACATTAGATCTCACGCCAAATGAGATCAAAGTATAAAAATCTCATGCTTTATCCAAGTTTTTCTCGTCCAAACAGCAATTGTTCGCTGAACTTCAGATTAACTTGACCTGTTCTTTTGACAATTTTTCGGAGTAAACGAAATTTAAACGAGGCACGAATATAATTACAATTACAAACTTACAAAAATGGTCGTTTCTGTCGGCGCATATGAGATGCCCATTGACTTACGTACCATATTAATATTTACCAAATCCAAAAGTTGCACCAAAAAACGCGTTCGGACTTTCAAGATTCATGCATTCACACAAGCAGAGGAGAGAGAGGGAGAGAGACCATGGAACCCAGCTGTGCGCCTGTGAAATATCATAACATGCAAACTCCAATAATATACTCTGTTCCGGATCAAAATAAAATATAAAAAAATCCAGAAAAATCGACATAGATCCACCAAAAACTCAACAAACAGATCTTTCCAATCAATACCCAGATCCCACAAGACCGCAAAAATCGTCACGAAAACGACTTTTTTGTCTTCTGGGGTCTCAATAGTTGGTAACTCTGCGGTTCCCTTCTTTGTTTTGTATTCTTCTGTTCTGTGAAGTTTCTACGTTTGGGAAGTGTTTTGGCGGCGGAGATTTTTGGATAAGTTTCTGAAAATGGAAAGTTCGGGGAGTACGAGGGTGGAGAAGAGAGGTCATGAATTGGATGCCGATGCAGATGATCATCCTCCCGAGCTGAAGAAGCAGAGATTGCCTGCTTTGGCAAGGTTGTTATTCTTTCTTTCTTTCTTTCTTTTTTCACTGAATTTTATGCTTTATTTTTTATTTTGTTAATAGGTGCTAATTTGATTCCTTAAAGGGCTTATTCTTCTGGATTAGTGTTGCTTTTTCGATTAATCTGATTCGATTAATTGGATTGAACTTGGTGAATATGTTGAAAGTTGAAACTTTATTCTTCTGTGCTTGCTTGTGAGTAAGAGGTTTAAGATTCACGATGCGATGTGACTTGGCTCAAATCCCGACTTCCAATGTAATTGTATCAATTACTGTGAAAGCACAATTTTTTACGGATGCAGTCATAAGTTATAAGCTGATGAATATGCTTTTGTGCTATTGAACTGATACTCTGTTCACCGACTAGCTATTGGTCTAGCGGTATTTCCTGTCAGAATTTTGGAAGATGTCTCGAGTTTGAATCCCCTTTCCCAGTGATAAAAAGAGAAGGCAGTACTCTGTTACGGCAGTTGTTTCAAACTTCAAACTTTCGTGTTAAGTTTCACATTACAACAACTTTGATTGAAAGTTGTAAATTCATATCCTTGTATTGAATTATCAAGTGATTTTTGTGCTTCTGAGGCTGAAAGTTTACTGGGATTTCGTCCAAATTGCAGAAGGATTCAATATCTTTTTGTTTTTCGTTTTTTTGAAGTCTATTGTTTATACAGTTGAATGTTATATGCAGTGTAATTGTGGAATCTTTGAAGGTAGATAGCTTGCAAAGACTTTGCTCGTCGTTGGAGCCTCTTCTCCGTCGAATTGTGAGTCGGATTGTTACTCTTTGCATCTTAGAATTTGACCCAAATGTTGAAACGAACTGCATCTCTTGGCTTTCCAACCTTTCTGAAACAGTGAATTATAGCATTTTATGTTTATTTTCTGCAAAATATTACTAAATAGTATGGCTTTCCTAGTATCCTGACATGGATAATGCAGAAAAACATCTGTGCTCCACAGTATTTCCCGGCCTGCATTTGCACAAAAAATTGCCTTCAGTTACGTGTAAAAACATGTATTCTCATTCTTTTGATCATTCTAAACTTTCTTTGACTAACAGGTTAGTGAAGAAGTCGAGCGCGCTTTGACAAAGTTAGACCATGCTGAACTGGCTGGAAGGTTTGTTCCAACCATAGTATTTAGATGTCTCTTTGTTCCATTCGAGTCATTGACTATGCTTTCTTCTTCGTATTTTCATCAGTTATCGTGTTTTTGTCTTTATTTCCTCCTATCTGTGTATTTGGTTGAGGGTTGGGGTGGGAAGACCGTATTAGTAAATTTATCGTTTGCAGTTTCGGAAATACTGCAGGTCTCAACCGCCGAGAATACAGGGTCCAGAAGGAAAAACCCTGCAACTACAATTCAAAACAAGAATGCCACCTCATCTATTCACAGGTGCAAAGGTTGAAGGAGAGCAAGGAGCAGCAATTCATGTTGTTTTGGTCGACCTCAGCACAGGCAGTGTTATGCAAACAGGACCCGAATCCGCTGCAAAACTGAATGTTGTAGTGCTGGAAGGTGACTTCAATGGGGAAGCTGAGGATAATTGGACAAAAGAACACTTTGAGAACCACGAAGTAAAGGAACGTGAGGGGAAAAGGCCGCTTCTGACAGGGGATCTTCAGGTTGTTCTCAAGGAAGGGGTAGGTACTCTAGGAGATCTTACCTTCACCGACAATTCTAGCTGGACGAGGAGCAGGAAATTCAGGCTCGGTGTTAAGCTTTTCCCTGGATATTGTGAGGAAATTCGTATTTGTGAGGCTAAAACGGATGCCTTTTCTGTTAAAGATCACAGGGGAGAATGTGAGTTGTCTGAAGCTTGCTATTTTACCCTTTACTTTATATGCACCGCACTTCAGCCTCGAAGAAAATTTTGGTATAAAAAGGTCACTTCACCCTCGATTTCCCTTTTCGACAAAATACCTGCAAAGCTTATCTAAACCAAGTTTCTGTTTCTGTAATTTGAAGTGTACAAGAAACACTACCCACCGGCTTTGCATGACGACGTTTGGAGATTGGATAGAATAGCAAAGGATGGAGCTCTGCACAAAAAATTGATACAGGCTGAGATCATAACCGTTGAAGACTTCCTTCGCCTTCTTGTCAAGGACCCGCAGAAACTAAGAAATGTAAGTATCCTATGCATTTGTTTCTGAACACCATTTTCTCTTTCTTTTTCGGGTACTCTATTTCTGTATATGGGAATATAGATGCTTGGGAGCGGGATGTCCAACAGGATGTGGGAAAACACAGTGGAGCATGCCAAAACCTGTGTCTTGGGTGGAAAGCTCTATGTTTACTACAATGATCAGGCTCACGGCACGGGCGTTGTTTTCAACCACATTTATGAGCTCAGGGGACTTATCGCTGATGGCCAGTTTCTTGCCTTGGAGTCACTCACCCACGCTCAAAAGGTTGGATAATTTTTATTGTTCACAAACAATGGGATAATTTCGCATATCTTTCAACTTGTCTCACTCACTTGGAGCCCTACATGCAGGTTTCCGTGGATTCTCTGGTGAAGAGAGCGTACGATAATTGGCATCAAGTCGTAGAATATGATGGAAAAGTCTTACATGCTCTCACTGGAAATAAAAAGGTTGCGAGAGCCTCACCTGCACCGGAGGCTGACCACAACAACTTTGCTGTGATGGATCACCATTCTGCATCTACTCAGAGCAGCAGCAGTACACCCCTCAATTCAGCCAACATTTCCAACCCGAAAATAGCCACCCATCCGTCCCTCAGTTCATTGAATTTCCATTTGTGAGTTCCGACCAAACAGCGTTGATCAAATTTAATAACCCGGAACCAGCAGCATTACCTAGCAGCATGGGTTACATGCCAGTGGTTGGAGGTTCACATTTTTCAGGAGATTGGACAAGGCCAAACTACGGGAATGGATTGGACGATTTTGTTGCTGATGAAATCCGGATCAGGAGTTCAGAGATGTTGGAGAGTGATGACATGCAAGGACTGCTCAAGACGTTTAGTATGGGAGTAGGCAGGAGGAGCTGGTTTTGGTGCTTCTGATGAGTCGTGTTATAATTACAGTGTACAATATGAGCCTCAGCCGTTCAGGAAAGAGCACGCGAAGAGCTCAGGGAAGGCAGTTGTCGGGTGGCTTAAGCTCAAAGCTGCGTTAAGGTGGGGGATTTTTATTAGGAAGAGAGTTGCAGAAAGGAGAGCTCAGCTTACAGAGCTAGACTGAATCAAATGCTTTCGTGATTGTTTAATTCCGTTTGCTTTGCAGAGACGAGACCATGAAAAGAGAAGGAAAATAAGGAGTTTAATTATATATTGGAACATTTCAGCGTTCTTTTATTCTTGTGTATCCAGAACTTCTTTATACTGTATGAGACATGAAATACCCGGCACATATCGTAAAACTTCGGTGTAACCGGAAATATATGTCCACCACCGTATATGACTCATCAAGTGATTTGTAAAATAGGGTGACGATGCACGTTCCGGTTACCTTAAGCAAATACAAGAAATGAAAAGTTTCATATGATAAAAGATAGAAAATTTGCATAAATATATACACAGGAAAGTCGTCAACTTATTATTCCATTAGCGCATTACTCCACGAAGAACAGCGAAGACGATGCAAGAATTGAAAAGATGCAGGTTTTGCACGGACATGAAAGATGGCAACAGAAGAGATGAAGAAATTACATAATGATACATGGTTCCTCATAGAGGAATAAACTGCTGTGATCCGGGAGAGCAAGCATCGAATCCAAAATCTCCATCCGTCGACAACACATTCTCATTCTGTCCCTGCATAACATAACCGCGTTCTTATTATATTCCACTGATAGGAAGATAAATAAAGTAGAAATATACAAGACATCAGTACGCATACCCGTTTCAGAATTGCAGTCATAACATCATTCCAAGGTCCGTAAGTATTTTGAGCAACATCATCGGGTGACTTTGTTTGCTGCCAGGAGTAGACCTCAGTGGGATTCATCGTTGTTTCCATGGCGGATTTCTGGAACTCACTGGGCTGCATGACAGGTGAAGTGACACCATCTAATATGTCAAATAAAGATGAAGTCATTTTTTCACTGCAGACTGCATCGTTTTGGTCCAAACTCGGGCCTACAGGTCCGAGAAGAACATTGGCAGAAACCATGGAATTATCGGCATTGAAAGATAGATTGAAATTGTGGTTGAAATCGTGCTTATGTTCTTCCCACATTTGCCTTGGCGAGCAAGTCATGGTCGGCACAACATCTCCAATCAAGCCTTCCTGATTCAGTATACTTCCTCTTAGTTCCACAGCAGGGGCTGAAAGTACACTAGATGAAAAATCACTTGGAACAGTTGCGACTTGAGGCCCATTAGAAGCGAAACCCAAGTTATTAGCATGTAGCTGACCATGATGGCCAGGCTCGCTCATTGGCAATGCATTCATCGGAAAATCAGATAACTGAACTGCAACCTGCCAGCTATCACTACATCGATTGTAATCTAGAAACTTCGAGGAGATGCCAACGTCAAATGATTCTGGATTCAATGATGCCACTCCAAGAGAAGACTGATTTCCAACAACTCCTGTGCCATGTGTTTGTTGTGGGGTCCCAGTGTAGTATCAAAGGATTGCTTGAAGCATTGGAATCAGAAAAGATTGAGCTTGCAGACGCTCTTGCGCCTGGAAAGCTAGAAGGGATGGCATAACTTGTTGAATCATTACTGGGAGAGGACTCGCCAATGTGAGTGATATACTTGCTCTGTTGCGATTGTTTGAACTCTAACGATGCTGGAATTGTTTGATACACATTTGGACTTTGGTTTGCAGGCAGAACTGGCTGGAGCTTCGTGGGAATATTAAAATAGTTGCTTAAGTTCTGGGAGTGACCAGGTTGGACCAGTCCGGAAGTAGTTCCTCGTATGCTCAAACCAGCAGTGGAGTTTAATCTACCAAGCATCATACTGGGTATGTATGGTGACAAACCGGCATTTGAGAACCTTTGTGATCCAACTAAGGACTGTGCATCTCCAAATCCATCTAGTGCAGCCATGCGCGTGTAAGAAGAATCTCTCACCCCAAAAGCAGGATTGCGGAGTTTTTTGAGGTATTGCCTAAACTTCTGCAACAAAAGGTGACACCATAAGCATGGAGTTATTCATTCAGCAGACTTTTATAGAGAAGAAAAGAAATCTCATGAATAGCTAGAACACAAAATTATCAACAAATTATCACAATCAGTTATCTCAGTAGAATCATCCTTCGAGTTGTTCCTAGCTATTTCATGCCAAATGTTTGATTTCTAATTCAAGATTTCGTGCAGCAAAAGTTACTTGCGACAAAAAGTAATCTAAAAGTAAGGCAAAGGAAAGATTAGTGCCTGTAGATGGCTGGCCACATTTTCCCTTGTGAGTCCTTCAACATTCATTAGGTCAAGAATTTTCTTCGGAACAGCCTCTGCATTTAAGACAGCGAAAGATACATCAGTCAAAATAATCCGCATAATGAAAGCAAAAAATCAGTTTCCAAGAAGCAGAAGACTCACTATCATATCCCAACTGATCTACAGCTGCAACAAACTTTTGGTGCAGCTCCCTGGACCAAACTACCCGAGGCTTCTTTTGGTATGACAATTCCTCATTCTCGTGTTCCTCCTCTTCATCTTCTTCTTCCTCGTCTTCATTTTGCTCCTTTCTTTTCCTGCTGAATCTGCCACTCCGATCTGAACTACCAGATGGTGAAACCGCGCGTCCACCTTCTCCAGCTTCAAGGCAACCTTTGTCTTGACTGGAAGACTTATTTTGGTCCTCAGGGTAAAACTTCTTTCTCCGGACTACATGTTGCCAGATGTTCTTGAGCTCTTCAATTCGAACAGGTTTCAACAAATAGTCACAAGCACCGTGGGAGATTCCCTTCATCACAAGATCTTTATCACTATATCCCGACAACACTAGAAACAATTTACAACACGAAAATTTATGTCAGTAACCAATTTATCTCCCACATCCTGAACAACTCACTATTTACAACACACAAAACACAAAATTCAAATATTTCTTTTTCACTTGCACTTCTTCAATTCAACAAGAACAAAAATTCATATTGATGTCGAAAAATCCAGAATAATTTGATGCTTACTGATTACAGGCAGGTCCATTTCGAGCCCCAATAGTTCAAGCAGCTTAAAGCCATCCATATCTGGCATATTAACATCACTGATCACCAAGTCAAAATTATTTCTGTTTTCCCTCAACATTTGCAGCGCCTTGACTGCCTGATTCGTCGTAGTAACTGCGAAAACCAGAAATCAGATAACTCAACACTAGGAAATTTTTCGAAAATCAAAACCCAAATACTAAAAATGTAAGAACACAAGTTAAAGCAAAGCACAGTTGAGCATATAGCTCAAGTTTGAAAAAAGTCAGTCGGCGTAACCAAATTGGCTAGAGCAGATGTGCTCTCCTGTGCAACCGAGTGTGAATTCTTCTCCCAACAGTTTAAATTAGTTTAAAGTAGAACATCGTATCGAAAAGTTACGAACATGGAACTGAGACTATGCATAGTCTCGGTATACAAGATTATCCCTTTTACACTTATATATCAACAACAAACTAATTCAAATTAAGGAACCAAATTTAAACTATGCATTGATACCTAAACCACACAAACATATGAACATAATTTGTTAAATCAAAAGGCTAGAACTTGAAGACAATTAAATCAAAGGAGGATTAAAAGAAACAAACCTTGATACTGGCATTTGACAAGCAGCTCCTCCAAAAGTCTGAGACAAGTCGAGTTGTCGTCGACGGCCAACACTCGCATGCCCACCGGAAAACGGTCCTCCACTGTCATAGTCAACCACCAACTTCAGAAACCCAGATGAAAAATCAAACAAAAATCAAGAACTAGAACTAAAGTTTCAATCTTTTTTTTTTCTTTCTATAAAACTCAAATTCCGGGGGTTTCTCAACAAACCCAGAAGAGATTAATAGCATAAAAATGGAAGAGAGAGAAAGACATACTCAGAAAGTGGCTAGAGAGAGAATGTGGGGAGTAGTAAAAGCTGTATAAAACGGACAATGATGGTGAAGGCCAGAGCAGGAGAGACTGAAGAGTTCAACGACCCAACAGAAAAGAAATCTTTTTAGTATTTTAAGTACTCCGAAGTCTCTCTCTCCTCAGAATTCAGAATTGTTTGTTTGTTTGTTATCTCTCTCTCCCTCTCTCTTCCTCCTCTCTCTGCGTCCTTGTCTTTCGCTTTTTCTTCTGAAGAGCAAACAGAACTCAAAGACTTTATCTTTGAAATAATATTTTCTAATGGATAGTTTTGCTTTGTTTGTTTATATTCATTTTTAATTAATTTAATTAATTAAGTTGAAAATAACATTAATTAATTAATTAGCTAAACTCTCTCCCTATGATGTCCACAACAGGTCAATGGAACCCTATCATTTTGCCACCATTTAATAATTCGTGAATGTTTCCTTTGGCCTCTTGTAACCTTTAACTCAAAGTAATTTTCCTACCAATTAATTTGATATGTGTTTAAAAAGATAAGTTTTTTCATTATTTTTCGTCGTAATAAATATAATAAACGCAGATTTTTTTTAGTTTGCATTTTAGTTGGCTCGAATGGATATTGAGCGAGAAACTTAAATGCACTGGCTATGCTATTTTGTCGGTATCTAATTTCAATATTGCATTGTTACGTGAAACACATGTTATTATGTTAGTAACGTAATTAAATTGGACTTAAACTACTTCAGTGTTGTGCTCGGTATGAGTAATTTGTGTAAAACTATCACATTTGGAGTATTATCGTAACCGAAAATATTACTAAACTTTGATAAAAAGTTTTGACCGTTAGATCTTAGTCATTAGATATTTGAATCTTTAAACAATACTTTTTTTTTTTTTTAAACAATACATTCTCTTTTGGATTACTTTGAAAAATGTATACCGAATCTCCTAATAAACTAAGCATTCAATGCAAATTATTCTCAGCTCTGTTTTTGGAAAGATTGCCATTACTTTCATTGGTTTTTCGAAATTCCTTTTCAAAAAGCCATGATTTTAGGCCATAATTTCCTTGGAGATTTACAAGTAATTATCAAATTTCCCTTCTAATCTCTCCTAATTAATAAAACACTCATTGTCAACCAAAACCCTATGAAATTACCAGTTTAATCCTTTAATTAAAACAAAACATGAATAGAAAATATGGGGCAGAAATGTAATTTCATATAACCAAATTTTGCTGTTTTTTTTTTCAAAGCTTCATCTACATGTAATCATAACATATCTCTAATTATAAAAAATAAAAATAAAAAAAAAATAAAAAAGTTCCCACTCCTACGTTCTCTATCACTCCCTTCCTCTCTCCTTCTATTTCAAAAGCAAAAATAAAAAATTTTCTCACACACTTTTTGTGTGCCCATATGCTAGTTTTAATTAAAAAAAGTCATTTCAAATGATAATACAAACCATCCCCCTTAAAATTTTCGAAGAAACAAGTAAATATAAAGAAAATAATCTCTCTCCCCCTCCTTTTGTTGTACAACGATATATTTTACACTAAGAGGATGCAATTTCAGCTAAGTCACACAATGGACAACCTAATTTGGTATCGAATTTGCCATCTACGAGATTCGAACTTAAGATCTCTCACTTATAAGTGGAGATGAATATTAACAGACCGTATTACTGAGTGGCTAATCTCTCTTAAAATACCCAAAAAAAATAAAAAATAAAAAAAGAAGTTTAACCATATTGTCCTAAAAAATTAACCTATTTAATATTCACTAGTCATGTAACCTAATCGTTATGTAATTTAAATGGGCAAAGGAAGTGTTTTATTTCAACTTTCAACTAATTAAAGTTTGACATTAGGGGAATTTTGTTTCAACTGTTCATAATAAATGGAGGAGAATAATTAGGTATTGCTTTCAAAATTTCTAATTCAAAAAAGCAACATTATTTCCATTGCAATTTATTATTTAATTTTTGGTAAATTAGCCATTTATAAGAAATCTTTAAGGGGAAGGATCCCATATATCATCTTTGCAAACTATTAGTTAAATCGAAAATATTTAACACATCTAATTAGGTTTAAGGAAATTAACGAATACTTTGTGTCACATCCCGGCCCGGGGGGGATTACTTCCCTGGCCCGCTCCACCACAATAGCACGATATTGTCCGCTTTGGGCTTACCATTCCCTCACGGTTTTGTTTTCGGGAACTCACGAGCAACTTCCCAGTGGGTCACCCATCATAGGATTGCTCTAGCCCCCTTCTCGCTTAACTTCGGAGTTCCTATGGAACCCGAAGCCAGTGAGCTCCCAAAAGGCCTTGTGCTAGGTAGAGATGAGAATATACATTTAAGGATCACTCCCCTGGGCGATATGGGATGTCACAATCCACCCCCCTTAGGGGCCCGACGTCCTCGTCGGCACACACGCGACCAGGGTTAGGCTCTGATACCAAATTGTCACATCCCGACCCGGGGCAGATCACTTCCCGAGCCCGCTCCACCACCGTAGCACGATATTGTCCGCTTTAGGCTTACCATTCCCTCACGGTTTTGTTTTTGGGAACTCACGAGCAACTTCCCAGTGGGTCACCCATCATGGGATTGCTCTAGCCCCCTTCTCGCTTAACTTCGGAGTTCCTACGGAACCCGAAGCCAGTGAGCTCCCAAAAGGCCTCGTGCTAGGTAGGGATGAGAATATACATTTAAGGATCACTCCCCTGGGCGATGTGGGATGTCACAATCCACCCCCCTTAGGGGTCCGACGTCCTCGTCGGCATACACGCGGCCAGGGTTAGGCTCTGATACCAATTTGTCACATCCCGGCCCGGGGAAGATCACTTCCCGGGCCCGCTCCACCACCATAGCACGATATTGTCCGCTTTGGGCTTACCATTCCCTCACGGTTTTGTTTTTGGGAACTCATGAGCAACTTCCCAGTGGGTCACCCATCATGGGATTGCTCTAGCCCCCTTCTCGCTTAACTTCGGAGTTCCTACGGAACCCGAAGCCAGTGAGCTCCCAAAAGGCCTCGTGCTAGGTAGAGATGAGAATATACATTTAAGGATCACTCCCCTGGACGATGTGGGATGTCACACTTTGTTATATAAGAAACAATGAAATTTTACCTTACTAATTAAATAAGCAAATGACTTCGGATTAAATTAAGTTTTTACAATAATGATTTATGAATCGAGACTTACAAAAAAGACGGTTTGAGGAGGGAGCTCCACACCTAATTCTCATTTTTTGAAAAAAAAAAAAAAAAAAAAAATCTTTGCATAATGGGTCTGCTATTATATATCAAGAGCGTGTAATTCACATTTCCCAGGAGAGAGTACGAGGATTGGTTGAACTAGGTCAGAGTTGAGCTATAAAACTGCCAAATATAGTACACTTGTCGTCGTGGGGGACGGAAGATTGCGTTACGAGACGATGCCGCGTTTCGGATTCTCATTGGCTGTTTCAGTCTTCGGCGGGACCCATCTTGGATTCCACGAACCCACAAACGGCACCAGTGCAGGCTGCACTGGAACGACACGTCGGTCCCAACAGTAGGAGATGAGAGGCGACGGAGACTTGCAAATGTGGGCTCTACTTCCCACGTGGTTGATGGAACTTCCGCACACCGATGTATCAGATGCAACCGTTTTTCAAACGATTAAATTGATGTTGTCTAAAGAGAAATGCTAAGGTGATCAAAATTTTAAATTAAATTTGTAAATTGAATGATGTGTTATTAATAGAAAATAATTATATTAATTAATGTTTAAGTAATAATCAAATCATCAACAATCACATCATTTGATTTTAAATTTGAATCCTTCTAGGATTACATTTGATTTGATGCATCTCATATACTATTTATCATCAAACTTCCACTCACTACCAAGTCACATGATCTGCCCGACACTGAGTATCCAGAAGCATATCCATATGTTACCAACCATCTATAGATCTTAAATTTTATGGATAATAACAAAACTTCAACTATATAGTCGTCACTGTTGTGTGAAAATGGTTGTCAGTGATAGTATATTGCAAAAAATACTTTAGGATCGAATATAATTCTATTTAATGATCGGATTAGCCAGCTAACCAAGCTTTATAACAAGTTTTTTTTTCTAGAGCTCCTTTTTAATTTTTAATGGTAACGAGAGCTGAGATCAAGTAGTGTGGAATTGTTTACAAATTTTGAGTTCCCATTGACTTTTAATCTGGGTTTAAATTAGAAAAAAGAAGAAGTCATCATTCATGACTTCATTCGTAATCAGTAAGCCATCAGATGTCCTAATATTAATAATGACTGACTGAATGAAGGGATTAAGTGACTAACATTTGTTTAACCTCTGCAGAATCCAACTGCAACGGCAAGTACATGTCTTTTATTTTTTACTAAAAACTGCGTTTTGATAACTATCAAAAGTCCTAATATATATAGGGTAATGCTATCCATATATCTTTTTTTACTTTCTACACATCATCCGTAATTTTTGTATATTGATATTCTTCAATTTATTCAATATAACAGTTGAAAATTAATTGGTGAGAAGTAAAAATAAGTATATAGATAACACCATCTTGTATATATACACACACACTACGAGCATCTTTGATTGGAGTTCATATTCAGGGACTTTCACCACCATCCTAAAGAAATATTGATTCCAATGGGAGAGTTTGTATAGTAGTAACCTTATATAATTTCACACGGTTGATGATCTTCAACAATAAAGAAGAAAAAACCCAAATTAAATATGGACTGTTGATTTTTTCGACAGTTTAAAAGAAAAAGAAAGCAGTATATGGCTGCGAGACCCATGCTTTGACGCCTTGTCGTCATGTCTGCTCTGCAGCTTGTGCATGGTCAGCCCCTTTTTTTCACTAAAATTTGGATTGGGTATCCCGTGGGTATACCTCTTTCCATCTCTTCTTGGTCTGATTTTCAATCATATTTCATGTCGAGTTCGTGT